TCGATCCCCGGCTGCTCCCCGGCCACCGGAGGAGGGTCCTGCATGGCGCGCAGACCTCTCCTGCCGCCCGCTGCTCCCCTCAGCAGTGTCCTTCCGTCCTTCTGCCTGCTCTGCTCCCCGCTCTGGCTCTGGTGAATTCGCTCACCCTCCCGCGCTTCTGACTGTACCCAGTGCTTGTATGTATAAATAAATAAATAAATCTTTAAAAAAAAAAAAAAAAAAAAAGAATGCAATGTGGGGGCATCCCCGGTGGCGCAGCCTTTGAGCGCTGGGTTGCGAAGCTGCCCGCAGCCTCTGCAGCGCAGGTTCGATCCCTGGCTGCTCCCCAGCAACCAGAGGAGGGTCCCACATGGCGTGCAGACCTCTTCTGTGGCCCGCTGCTCCCCTCAGCAGTGTGCTTCGGTCCTTCTGCCTGCTCTGCTCCCCGCTCTGGCTCTGGTGAATTCTCTCACCCTCCCGCGCTTCTGACTGTACCCAGTGCTTGTATAAATAAATAAATAAATAAATAAATCTTTAAAAAAAAATGCAATGTGGGAAAATTTTTATTGCTTGTTACAAATTCTCATTAAGGAGTTCACACAGAAGGGCCTCTTGAGTGCAGTGAAGGAAATTCTTTACCCCAAATGCTTGCTTTTTACTACTTCAGAAAGTCCATCCAACACCCTCCCACAGGTGTTTATTGAACATTCATAGACTTGCAGGTGGGCTCAGGAAGACCACAGAGTGTTGAGTTGGCAACATCACTAAACGGGACAGCTCGTAAACAGCTTGACACCTTTAGAAAAGTGAAAAAAAATATAAGAGTGGAAACAAGCACAGCTCTTCACTGTGTGTTATCAAGACCCTCGTCACTAAGTTCACTGACACTTGTAGCTGGTGACAGGGACCCTGGGTTTTCAGGTATACCTTTTTTTTTTTTTTTAAAGATTTATTTATTTATACAAGAGCAGGGGTCCAGGCCAGAGGTGCCAGAGGGTGAGAGGATTCACCAGAGACAGAGCCGGGAGCAGAACAGACAGATGGACTGAAGGCACTGCTGAGGGGAGCAGCGGACGAGACAAGAGAGGTCTACCGCACCATGTGGGACTCTCCCTGGACGGCCGGGAATTGAACCAGTGCTGCATAGGTTGTGGACAGCTTCATAGTGCATCGCTCTACCAGCTGTGCCAATGGGGAGGCCCCTCAGGTGTATCTTGACTTGCGATGAGTATTGGCATTTCCACCTCATGTAGGACACACTTCAGCAGAGGCTCAGAAGACAAGGCCTGGATGCCGCTGGACAGGTGCTAAGGGCTCAGGGACATTGAGTGGCTCGGGAGTCACCTGCACAGCATGATGACCTGCGTTCCTGATTGCAGTGAGAGCACAGGTCTGCGATCATTTTGGCTTAGGAGATACCGACCCAACACTCTGGAATGAAGATGAGGAGGGGGTGCTTACAGGGATTCTTTTTTTTTTTTTTTTTTTTTAGAGGCATGTTTTATTTATTTGTTTGTTTGTTTGTTTTGTTTATACATGCACTGGGTACAGTCAGAAGCGCGGGAGGGCGAGAGAATTCACCAGAGCCAGAGCGGGGAGCAGAGCAGGCAGAAGGATGGAAGGACACTGCTGAGGGGAGCAGCGGGCGGCAGGAGAGGTCTGCGCGCCATGTGGGACCCTCCTCCGGTGGCCGGGGAGCAGCCGGGGAGCAGCCGGGGAGCAGCCGGGGATCGAACCGGCGCCGCAGAGGTCGCCGGCAAGGGATTCTTCATTTATCACGGCCCCTCTGAATTCCTTTGTTCTGGGACTTAGGCATGTGTGTTACCATGACACTTCACTTTCTGCTTTTTGTTTTTGAGTAAATCCATTTTCGTGGTGAAATAATTGGCTGCTTATTTTTTTTCGGGCTTGGTTTGGTGGTGTTGCCTCTGCTCAAATCACTACATTTGCTCAACCGCTGCGCCACCGGGGAGGCCCTAGGAGAAAAGTTTTCTACCAAGTAAAGGACTCCTTTGTCCAAACCCTGTCCATGGAGAGCTATAAGAAAGAATTGAAGGGCCTCCCCAGTGGTGCAGCAGGTTGAATGCAGCGCTATGAAGCTGTCTGCAGCCTCTGCAGCACAGGTTCGAGTCCCGGCCAGGGAGCTACCCACATGGCACGGCAGACCTCTCCTGTCTCCCCACTGCTCCCCTCAGCAGTGTATTTCAGTCAGTCTGCCTGTTCTGCTCCCTCCTCTGTCTCTGGTGAATCCTCTCACCCTCCCACGCCTCTGGCCTGTACCCCAGCTCAATAAACAAACTAAATTTTTTTTTCTATAAAAAAAAAGAAATGCAGAGGAACGGTTTCTAATGGACACTCTTTATGTGCTGTACACTGGACGTCCAGCAAGTTAATGTCCAAATCACCGGGATCCGCAGCCTTCTATTGGCAAGCTCACCCGTGGAGACTTAAAGCTGTCTAGGAACATGTTGCTTTTGCTTGGAGCTGTTTTTTAGTAGAGATGCATATACTGTTGTTATTACAGTTATTACCTTAAAAGGAGACCACTAGGCACATGCCTCCAATGCCAAATAAGCAAAGGATAGTCTGAGGGCAGAATAAATTACTGTAAATACCTCAAAGGTAAGAACAACCAGCCAACTGTCAATGCATTTTCCCCAATAAGGCAGCCCCTTAAGCTATAGACAGTCAGAGAATTCTTTTACTTTGCTCCCCTTATTGCTTCCCCAAGTCTTTTCAGGTTTGGTTTGATTCTGCTGGTTGGAATTGAGGTTTATATTCTTCAAAATTTTAATGTATCTCACTTACCTCTCCTGCCCCAGCACCCCCAATACCTCACCTTTAAACAAGTCAAGAAGCCTGAACTAAAAACCCAAAGGGCTCTGATTTAGGAGGCCATCCTTAAATTTCAGTAGGATGTTACAACCTATTCAGTCCCCCCCCCATTTTTTTTGGTGCCTTGTTTCCATTGCATCTACCATTTTTTTTTTAAAAAAAAGATATTGCATAGAATAGCTGGGTGCAGGCCAGAGGTGCAGGATGTAAGAGGATTCCTCAGAGACAGAGTGGGGAGCAGAGCAGGCGAATACACTGAAATCCACTGCTGAAGGGAGCAGTGGGGAGACAGGAGGGGTCTGCTGCGCCCTGTGGGTAGCTCCCTGGCCTGGGATGGAACTCAGGCTGAGTGGCTGGCCGTAGCTTGATAGCTCTGAGATTTAACCCCTGTGCCAGAGGGAGGCCCTGATTTAAATAGCTTTGAAAAGAGCATGGAACGGAGTTCCTGCTGAAACAACCCTTCCCTTGGAGAGCAATTGTGAAAACCATGCACCAGCCCCGTGAAAGTCCCTTCGTTTAATTGTGCCCTATTGCGGAGGGTTTGTGATTTGCCACTTGGGCTGTTAGCTGGACTGTTGACTCAAGACACGATTCTGTGAAATATTCCTATAAATTGTAATTTCCACAATGAACCGGTGCTGAACACATTACCCATCAGCGTAAGTCTTTGAGCACAACGTGCGGCAAATGGGCACCGCACACAGCTCTGCGGACACCTGTCAGAGTCTCAGGAAGGAGCAGAGTACACGGAGGCCGCGCCGTCTGGGCGGCGTGTTGCTCGCTCCGCGGCGCAGTGCAGGGGCGAGAGGCGGTCCCGGCTTCCCGCCTTCAGCGCTGGGTCTGCGTGGGGGCGTCGCCGGTGGTCACGTGCAGGTGGACGGACAGGCCCAGGCCGCCCCTCCCGGGCAGGACGCGGTCTCCCGCGGGGACTGACGGCCCAGGAGCCCGGGGCGCCGGCGTTTACAGGGCCCCGGCCTTCGGGGACGCGTCCAGGAGGCTATCCGGTGCGAGCAGCCTGAGTCCAGGCGCGTCCCGTCCCGTCCACGGTCCAGCCCGGGAGGCCGCCCGCGAGGCGGGGGCGTCGGCCCGCTGAGCCGCCCCGCCCTAGGGGACCTTTGCTTGGCCCCGGCCCCAGCCGGCCGCGCCCCCGGGGCGGGTCTCGCCGCTCCTCGCGCCGGGCGCGGGCTCGGGCGTCGCTGCGGCAACGGAAAGGACACCCCGTTGCCGGTGCGTGCGCGGGGCGCCCGGGGAGGGGTCGGCACGTCGCTTTCACGTTGGTTATCGCCGGTTCTGCCCGCGGCCCGGCCCGCCGCCCCCGGCCGACCACCCACTCGACGCCCCTTCCGGCTGCTTTCCCGGCCGCTGCCGCCGGAGCCCAGGGCCGCCGGACCGCGGGGCGCGCGGACTACATCACCCAGCAGCTCCTGCGCGGGCGCAGCCAATGAGCGCCCGGGACGCGCGCTTCCGGCGCTCGGCGGGGCGGGACTTCCGGCGTCCTCCTCGTGGCGGTCATTTTGGCTTCTGTGGAAATAGTTACAGCGGCCGCCACTCGGGACCCCGCGTCGGAGCCGGGCGGCCGGGCCGAGCGGGCGGGAGGCCCCCCGCGCGGAGGCGGCCGGAAGGTGCCGACGCCGCCGGTGCCGCGCCGCGCCGAGGACCCCCGTCCGCGCCCCGCACGGCCCGATGGCGGCGGCCGCGCCGAGGGCCCGGGCTGAGGTACAGGCGCGCCCGCTCCCGCCTCCCGCGCCCGGCGTCGGGGCCTGGGGTGGGTGCAGGGCTGGGGCGCCCGCGCGGGCCGGGCGGGGGCGGGGACGGGGGAGGGAGGGGCGGGCGCGCCGGCCGGCCGGGGCGGGGCCGAGGGGCGGGGCGGGCTTGAGCCGCCTGGCGGTCTGAGGCGGCGGAACCCCGAGTGCGGCCGTCGGGGCAAACGGCCGGGCCGGCCCTCCGGGGAGGTGCGGATGGGTCGGAGCTTTTCGCAGGCCGTGACCTCGGGTGACCCCCGTCGCGCCGTGGGGCGCACGTGGAGGGGTGCAGTGCGGTGGGCGGCAGCTCTGCAGCAGGCCGGCGAGACCGGGTGCTCCCGAGCGGGGGTGCTGGTGCTCAGCGCTGGCGGGCTCGGGGCTCCCCAACGCCCGCCCAGGGGCGCGGTGATCGCAGGTGCCCGCAGCTCGCGGGGTGATGAACGTGTCGGAGGAGGCCCGGCAGGAGCCGAGACCAGGTTCCGGTGACCGGGGCTGGAGCCGGGGTGATCTTTTGGGGTGTGTCTCTCCCGCTTGTGATGAAAGTGCAGGGAAAACACCTTTTGTGATGCGCTCTGGCATGGACGCGTTTAAGGCTCCGCGTTTAAGGCTCCGTCTTAGAAAAGTTGAGGGGAGGTGGGTGGTTGCAGCTCCTAATGGGCAGCGAGGGCTGCACAGACATAGAAGAGGGTCCTGGGCACCTGAACCTGGTGCCCGGCCTCGAGCCAGGATTGGGGGCAGGTCGGCTGTACTTCTGAGGAGTCCTGAGGCTGTAGCTGGCGGGGTGATCCCTCAGAGGACTGGGCCCTCTGGATCCTGAGCGTGTGGGTCTCAGTGCAGATTGCCGGGTGCCAACTGCCTTACAGAGCTGGGGGTGCCTGTGTGGTAGAGCGGAAGTGGTCACGTGGTGCAAACGTGGGGTGGACGGTGTGAGCCCAGTGGGTTCCGTAGAGCAATGTACTTACACGTCCCTGGGAGAGTGAGCTGGGACCATCATCTGTAGTTGGAGTCCTGCGGATGAAGTCTGAGCCTGTGTTTGGCTGTGACTTGGGGGCGCCCTGGGGGGTTCTTTGTCATGGAGGGTGGGATCCTGCAGGCCAGGCCCGCCAGCTTAGATGGCACCAGTTTCCCCTTTCTTGTGAGGGTTGTGCACTGCCTGTGCAGTGACTCAGGCGCTGGTGGCCCCACGGTTGGTGTTTGCTGAGGTGGGGCGTTCTGGTGGGGTGTTAGCTGGGTCTTGACGTTGTGGGCGGATGGACAGTGGCTGCTGAGACAGAATGTGGGTTTCTTTGCTCTGCATCGTACAGGAGAGCATGATGTTTCAAGACGTGGCCGTGTACTTCTCCCGGGAGGAGTGGGGCCTCCTGGATCAGTCCGAGAGACACCTGTACCTCGATGTGATGCTGGACAACTTTGAACTCGTGTCTTCACTGGGTAAGACTTTCACGCCCATGTCCTGCTCACATGTGGACTGTGCCCACTGCTGGCTTCCCCCGCTCCTGGGGTTTTGCTCTCCACTCCCTGCTTCCTGCAACCCTGACACCCAATTACTGAACACCCAAGCTGGGGAGTATCTGACTCCTGTAAGTTTGGGGCTTATTTTCCTCAGCATAGTGTCCTCCAGGTTCCCCCATTACCACGGTCCTTACACTGAGGTGATGGATTCCCCCTTGCTGTCCCTCTTCCTGGCTGGGTCAGATCCATGGGGTTTCTGTCCCCCACATTTTGACCATTTCCTTTCGCTGGCATTTCCGCTTGCCTGGCCATGCCACGAATGGGGAGCTTTGTCATGATCACTCACTGGACTATGGGCTACTTTTCAAAATAATCCTGTAAAGTAATTTTTGAAGTGTTCAGATCATTTTCTTACTCCCCCCACTGCTATTGAACTATAAATTGAAAAATAAAATTGTGTGTATTTAAGGCCTCCTTGGTGGCCTAGGGGTTGAGTCTCAGCGCTGTCACCACTGTGGCCTGAATTTGATCCCCAGCCAGAGAGCTGACCCACATGGCACAGCAGACCTCTCCTATCTCGCCCGTAGCTCCCCTCAGCCTATTCTGCTCCCCACTTTGTCTCTGGTGAATTTCTCACCTCCCACCCCTGCCCCACCCCACCCCCCACACCTCTGGCCTGTACTCCAGTTCTTATATGCAAAAAATAAAGAAAAATAAATCTTTAAAATATAAATTCATGGATATTTGAAATGTATAGCACCATTGGATATTTACATTATGAGATAGTTACTATAATGAAAATAAATGAGTCTATAGACCTGACATAACCTTTGCCTTTTTTTTTTTTTTTAAAGATTTATTTTCATTTATACAAGAGCTGGGGTACAGGTCAGAGGCGGGAGCATGACAGAATTCACCAGAGACAGAGCGGGGAGCAGAATGGGCAGACGGACTGAGGACACTGCTGAGGGCGAGGCGGGAGAGGTCTTCCAAGCCATGTGGGTTTCTCCCCGGCCAGCCGGAAATCGAACCCATGCTGAAGAGGCTGCGGGCAGCTTCACAGCGTGGCGCTCAACCCGCTGCACCACCGGGGAGACCCTATGTTATTATTTTTTTTAAAGAACATTGAACATGTATGCTTTTAGCAAGTTTGGGTAGTGTAATACAGCACTAGGAACTGTAGCCTAGTAACCCTGGTACTGTAGATGTTTAACCACGTTACAAATTAAAGTTTTTTTCTCTTTCCCCCAGTCCTGTGCTTTTGGGCTTCTACTTTCTTTATAAGGGCTTGTTAACGTCCAAGCAGAATTATCCATTTTTTGGTCCTTCTGTGACTTACTGCACTTGGCATAGTGTCCTCCAGGTCACCCATGTTACAGGTTGTAGTTTTGCTTCTTTCACGAGGCTGCATTTTTGTATGCATACCCCGCACCGTATTAGTTCATTCCATCATGGATGAGACGTTTTTGCCCTTGGTTTCTTTTTTTTTTTTTTTTTTTTTTGCATTTTTTTAAAATAAATTTTATTTTTATATTCCCCATAAAATTGCAACCCCCTTATTTTTTTTTTTTTATAAATTTTATTGTTATATTCCCCATACAATTGCAGCCCCCCCATTCTGACCCCATCCCTTGGTTTCTTGAAGTAAGATATCTGCTCCTTTCTGTCCTCGGACTCTCGCTCCTTGCTTCACCTCCCCGAATTCACGCAGGCCTGCTTCACTGTATTGCTTTTTAATTTTTTCTCTCAAGTCACAGATTCTTTCTTTTGCTTGATGAAGTTGTCCGTTGAAGTCCTCCATTTTTTCATTCATCTGTGTATTCTCAGGCACCGGAATTTGTTTGGTTCTTGTGTTTTTCAGCCGTAGAGTGTCAGCGTATTTTCATTCCTGTGAGCAGTTAATCCCAGAGAAATGAAGGTAGCTTTACCATCCCCAAATGTTTGCAAGGACATAAAATTTTCACTTAATTGTGTGGTTTAACTCGCACTAGTTTACATGCTTTCTCTATTTGTGTTCCAACATTGATCCCTGGTTATGATCTCTGTTCTCCCTCACATTTGAATTTATCATGGGTTCTTAATCTAGACAACAACAAAAAAATTGTAAATGCCAAACTTTTTGATAAATAGAAAACAAAGTCCTCAGATCATTTGCACTGTTCATTAACAACAGATTTTCTGTTGAAAAGTTGGTTTTGATCAAACAGTTAATTTGAATTGTCAAAAAATAAAGGCAGTAGGGCCTCCCGGTGACGCAGCGGTTGAGCGCTGGGTTGCGAAGCTGCCCGCAGCCTCTGCAGCGCCGGTTCGATCCCCGGCTGCTCCCCGGCCACCGGAGGAGGGTCCCGCATGGTGCGCAGACCTCTCCTGCCGCCCGCTGCTCCCCTCAGCAGTGTACTTTGGTCCTTCTGCCTGCTCTGCTCCCCGCTCTGGCTCTGGGGAATTCTCTCACCCTCCCGCGCTTCTGACTGTACCCAGTGCATGTATAAACAAAACAAACAAATAAAATAAATAAATAAATAAAACATGCCTCTATAAAAAAAAATAAATAAATAAAGGCAGTATAAATAACAACTAGGGCTGCTTAATCTTCTCATAGTGGTGATACTTTGAAGGAAGTAGAATACTTTGGAGCATTTCCCTTTCCTTCGAATTCAGTATTACATCACTTTGAGCATTCAGAGGTAGATACCAAAGTCATAAAATTAACGTATGAGCCATTTTCACCCTTGTTTCTCGAGTTAGGCCTGAAGAGTCTAATGCCAGTGAAAGTGCAAAGGAAGAAGAACATATAAGCTGGCCTTGGAATTGGCAAGAACAGAGTGTGAAAGCAAGGGTGGTGTGCTACTTCCGTCCTGTGGGACGTTTTCTTCCAGAAACTAGGTCCTGTTAAAACAGGCTAATCCAGGCAGACAGCTTGGGAGTCACATCGTGCCTGTCACCCTCTGTCCTTAATGTAGATGGCACTTGTGAGTGTATGTATGTGCTTAATTTTGCTCTAAATACTGCTGCATTTCTTGCTGTTTTCCTGTTTCTTCCTAGTTGCCCGTGGTTCTCTAGCATGAATCCCTTCAGTAACTGAGGAGGCTAGTGCCACGATTTTTTAAGCAACTGCTGATGCTTACATTTGAGTGCCTTCGGGGAGTTGGCATAGCAGGACCTGCAGCAGCTCCACCTGATTCCCCCTGCTCCTTCCTGCCACCCTCAGAGGGGCGAACGCTTCAGGCCACTCGGCAGACCTGTCCAGTCTTGCTGGTCTGGGAGCTGGTGGTCTTCGCTCCATCTGTCCTTGACCATGTCCTTGTTGAATAGCGCTTTTTTGGTTATTTATAGTTTGGCCTCTTTTGTTAAATGGTCTGTTTTCTTGTAGGTCACTGAACTGACTGAAAGGAATTACTTTGAATGGTCTGGGGGGCAGTTCTTAGGTCTGTTTCTCAGGGCTGGTTTCTGGATCGGTGTTCCCTTGATGATGCCGTGTTTCCCTCAAGTGTTCCTCACAGCCGTGTGTAGCTGTGTACTCATTGGACGGCGCAGTCACTTCTTCCAGACTCGGCATTCCCGTCGTGATGGGAGAGACTGTCACCTGGTGATGGGTGGGACGAGAGCTCCAACTTGGGGACCTCTCCACCTGTGGGTAGGGAGAGGGTGTTCCAGATCTGGGGAGGGCTCAGCAGGGGCAACTCCCTGCCGCTCCAGTTCCTTAGTCAGAGTTTGACGAAGGTACAGAGGCGTCCTCAGCGGGGGATGCCGTGGGTGTCCAGTGCAGTGGAGATTATCAGGAACCCCTGGTTTCTTTTGCTCCCACAGAGGCCACTGTGGCCAGTGCTCTGGCGCTCTGCTGGTGGCGGCACTTGAGGTTTGAAGGCAGTTCTGGGGTCGGGACATTTGGCCTTTGTTAGTCAGAACAAAGGTGTTCACGTGTCCTTGATTGACCTTAAGAAATGGCTTCTGTGTTGCAGTTGGATTAAGATGGACTTGGGGGCACAGTCCCCCAGTCTGGGGGGGGGGGACTGTGTCGTAATAGTCTCACGAGCATTAATGGCCTGAAGGGAGCTGTGCGCAGAGCAGTACTCCACACGCTCTTCCTTGTGCACATCCAGGTGAGGGCGCCGCCATTCTGTGAGCCGAGGTGACGCACGACCAGTGCTCTTTCAGCTGAGCTCCAGCTCCCTTGTATTGCAAACCACCGCATAGGCACACGGTCAGCAGTTACAGGTGGCCTTGTGTGTTGGGCCCACCCTCACCCGTGGTCAGTAAGTGCCTCACCGCTGTCTCTTGTGCTCAGGTTGCTGCTGTGGAGCAGAGGCTGTGGAGACTCCCTTTGAGCAGAGTGTGTCTGTAGGCGAGTCCCAGCCCAGCGCTCCCAAGGCAGCTCTGTCTCAGAAGACCCACCCCTGTGAGCTGTGCGCTCCGGTCTTGAGAGACATTTTCCTCGTGACTGAGCCCCTGGGAACACAGCACGGGCGGCTCCTGTTGAGGTGTGGGGCGTGTGCCAAGCAGTTTTCTTTCGGCGTGAACGTGAATCATGACCAGGAGCAGCACAAGGAGGAGAAAGCCCGCAGGAGCAGCGTGGACTGGTCCTCGTTTGTGAAGAGCTGCAGATTCCACGTGTCAGAGCACCCCTCTGCCTGTGGGGAGGTTGGGAGAGACGTCCTGGCCGTCGTGGGACGTCTGCAGCCACCGGTCACTCTTCCTGGGGAGGAGCCAGGCACAGCCACCCAGAGTGGCGCAGCGGCACAGAGCAGTAAAAGCCGTCACCCCCGGGGAGCTCGCACCAAAGCCCGCAGCCCCAAGCACACTCTTGTTCAGGCCCAGGGCGTCCACGCAGGAAGACAGAGTTTCGTGTGCAGTGAATGTGGGAAAACATTCAGGTACAAATCCTCCTTTGTCGCGCACCAGAGAGTGCACGCTGGAGGGAGAATCAGCGTCTTTGGTGAACACAGTGAATCCTTGAGTCAAAGCCTAGCCCTCAGTCAACATGTTGGGGCTCATGCGGGGGAAAGGCAGCCCAAGTGCAGCAAGTGTGGGGGACCCTTGAGCCAGCGGTCTCGACTCTCCTGTCCTCAGCCGTGGCCCGGCGGCCAGAGCAGCTCTGTGTGCGGTGGGTGTGCGGTGCCCTTCACGCACGGCGCAGCGCTCATCCCACACAGGAGGGCGCGGGCTCGAGACAGGCCTTACAACTGTGACTGCGGGAAGGCCTTCACCTCCATCTACAGCCTCAGCTGCCACCAGCGCGTGCACACGGGGGAGCGGCCCTACGAGTGCCTCGAGTGCGGGAAGTCCTTTACCTTCAGCTCCAACCTCCGCTACCACCAGAAAGTGCACCGAGGGGAGCGGCCGCACGCGTGCAGGGAGTGCGGGAAGGCTTTCATCACGCGCGCGGCGCTCTGTTACCACCAGCGGCTGCACACGGGGGAGAGGCCGTACGCGTGCGGCGAGTGCGGGAAGTCCTTCAACAAGAGGTCGACGCTCATCCAGCACCTGAGGGTTCACACGGGAGAGAAGCCGTACGTGTGCAGCGAGTGCGGGAAGTCCTTCACCTCCAGCTCCAGCCTGCGCTACCACCAGCGCGCGCACACGGGGGAGAGGCCGTACGCGTGCACCGCGTGCGGGAAGGCCTTCACCTCCAGCTCCGGCCTCCGCTACCACTACCGGGCTCACACGGGGGAGCGGCCCTACGAGTGCAGCGAGTGCGGGAAGTCTTTCTCCTCCAATTCCAGCCTCCGTCTGCATCGGAGAGTTCACAAGGGGGAGCGGCCCTACGAGTGCAGCGAGTGCGGGAAGGCCTTCACCTCTAACTTCCAGCTCCTGGGGCACCGGCGCGCGCACACGGGGGAGAGGCCGTACGCGTGCACGGCGTGCGGGAAGGCCTTCACCTCCAGCTCCGGCCTCCGCTACCACTACGGCGCGCACACGGGGGAGCGGCCTTGCGAGTGCAGCGAGTGCGGGAAGTCTTTCTCCTCCCGCTCCAACCTCAGTGTCCACCGGAGAGTTCACCGCGGACACAGGCCGCACGAGGGCCGGGAGTGCGGGCAGTCTTTCACCTCTTGCTCCCACCTTCTCGGTCACCAGCGAGTTCACACAGGGGCGCGGCCTTACGCATGTAGTGAGTGTGGGAAGTCTTTTACCTCGAGCTCCTCTCTGCGCTGTCACCAGAGGGTTCACTCAGGAGAAAGGCCTTACACGTGCACGGAGTGTGGGAAATCTTTTCCCTCCCGCTCACAGCTCCTTGGCCATCACAGGGCGCACACAGGAGAGAGGCCTTGTGTGCGGTGAGTGTGGGAAGACTTTTCTCACTCGCTCCAAACTCTGTTGCCATCAGAGGGCCCCCGCCAGAGAAAGGCTGTAAGAGCGCTGTGCTTTGCGGAAGCTTTAGGGCAACATCTGCGATCACCCTCACAGTTCAGCCTGGAGAAGAGGTTTAGGTTTTAGCAAATGTGCAGTTTCCTGTTGGAGCATAACGTGGCAGTGAAGAAAACGTGGAGATCCACCCGTCTGAATCGAGCCTCACGCATCTGAGCGATCACTGAGGTGTTTCCCCGCGAGTTTCAGTTACTTGGGAGGCTCGTGAGGTTGTGTTGCATTTTCTCGCCTGCCCGGGGCCCTTGTTAGGTTTCCGTCGATGCGGCTTCCGGTGTCGAGGTCGTTCCCCTCTGCCGCCTGACAGGCCTCTCCGTGTGAACCAGTCACACACACACGCACAACCCCCTCGTTCTCAGGGAAGCCGACTGTTCTTTTTGTGTGAGAGTAAGTTAGTCACCCGCCCCCTCAGCAGGTCTGCTTTCCCTCAGCTTCCTTGGACTTGAACCTGAATTGGCGTGACCCCCAAGCCATGTCTTGCGAGTTTGGTCAGCAGGTTTGCCACAAGGCCTGCGGGTTTCAGATTTGTGTTGATTTCTCGTGCTCCGTGTGACGCATCTGTCCGGCTTCCACATTGCCGATGGCCGCCTGCTGCCGTGATGGGACCAGGATGGAGGTCTTCACTCTCTCCTGGTGTGAGGGGAGAACAGCCTGCTGTGTTTCTCAACCGCTCTCTGAGCCTGAGAGCAGACGGCAGGGTGGCGGAAAGGAACCAGCTGGTTTTCAGCAAATTGCATCACTGCCCACACGGCCCCCTCGGAGAGACAGCGGGGCAGTGAAGCCTGGACATCGTGTGCTTTGTGAGTCGCAGGCGTGACCCCTGGAGCGGGCAGATGTCAGAACCTCAGGTGCCACCGAGGGCAGCGTCGCTTTCTCCCGTGTTGAGGTGACAGCGCCTCGCACTCCCTCCCGGCTCTGTATTGGGGGTGTCGCCGCTGGGTGTGGAAAGAGCCACGTGGCCTCATGTCCCGGGCTTACTGGCGTGGGGTCAGTGGTGGACGACCATCGGGTCCAGGGCGCCAGCTGGTACAGGAAGGAGCCTGGCGGGGAGGGGAGGAGGCTGCAGCCAGCTGGGCGGGATGTGCTGCGCGGACAGGTGTGCCCAGAGGTGGCCCTGATGGGGCTGCAGGCCTGCCTGGGTACGGGTCTTGGTACCTCCAGGCAACTTTATCTCGTGTAGCTGTAGTCGCTGGCAGAGAAAGGACTGCACGTTTGTGGGAATTCCTGGAGCCTCCCGCAGTGCCTTGGTGGCCATCACTGGGCAGGCAGGAAGGGGCCACTCACACAGTGGGGGGTGTGATCTCATGGCCTGACAGCGTGCCCCGTGGCCTGGAAATGCCCCTGGTGCCTGTGTTGCTGCCACTGAGGGAAGGCCGGCCCCAGAGGGCCCGCGGGAGGTGGGTGTAGCTCCAGTGCGCTGGTGCCCAAGGCGCTTTCCCAAACCTGGGGCGCTCGGATTTGTTTTATTATCACGAGTCAGTTTTTGAAGGTTTATTAGGGCATAATTTACATGCACTAGACTCTGCATGTCTGAACTCTCTAACTGGATGAGTTTTGAGATCATCAGGGTCCTGACCGTGACGTGTCTGCCCCGGGCATGGCCGGCCTCTCTCCCTGCTCTTTCCACCTCTCCACATGCTGTTGGCTTTCCTTCTCTCGAGTAAGATGCCGTTGCTCTTGAGTTTGTGTTGTCGAAATTGTAAACCTATTTTTGTAATCCTTTATCACAATTACTTAGAATTTATCAGTGATGGTGTATGACTTTATTGGCTGAGGAATTTTCCTTGTGTGTAACACTTATTTTCTGTTCATGGGCATTTAGAGTATTTCTGGATTTTCACTACTGAAAATAAAGGCGTAGCCAACCTTTGTGCCTGTTTGCTTGGACACACGCTTACCTTTTCCTGGAGTCCGCATCGCGGGGCAGGTGAAACGTACTCTTGAAGCGAACAGAACAAACCGTGGTCTGAAATGATTGCACCTTTTTGCATCTTACCCGGGTGTGAGTTCCTTTTCTGTGGCTTTCTACCAACACTTGGTAGCTTCATTTGTCATTTTCTTTTCTTTTTTTTTAAGATTTATTTTTATTTATTTATACAAGCACTGGGTACAGTCAGAAGCGCGGGAGGGTGAGAGGATTCACCAGAGCCAGAGCGGGGAACAGAACAGGCAGACTGACGAAATACACTGCTGAGGGGAGCAGCGGGCGGCAGGAGAGGTCTGCGCGCCAAGTCATTTTATTTTCTTAAGGATTTGTGATTTTGAGCATTTTTCATGCCTTTGTCACCTTCATGTCTGTCTTACGGTTTCTGTATTTGTCATTTGCACATTTGGTCCATTTGAAGGCCTTTTCCCTCGTAGACAGATTGGAACCTGGGGACAGTGGCATGCTGGGACTGTACTCGTCAAGGGAGCGATGCTTTGCAGTGGGAATACTTGTGTTTAAGAACGAGAATGATATTCACTTGCTTTCTAGCCTTTTGCGTCAGCCGTGATGTGCAGGTCCCTCGCTACGTTGCCTCCTCTGTCCTCAGCCAGGCATCGGGTCACGTGCAGTATGCCACGTTTCCATCAGTGTTGGCCAGGTGTGCAAGGTGCTCCACACACCCCTTTCGCTGCTGATACCCTGATGGTAGTGCCCTGTGTTTGATGCTGTTTATCATGGCTCCTGTGCGTGCACCCTTCCCCGTGTGCTCAGCTCATCTTCACGGTGTGTTGTGTGTCATGGCCCCTAAATGTGCCAGGTCCTTGTTAAGCTATTGACCTGGAGGCCGCTATGAAAGTGTTGAAAGACTGCATGGGGAGGTTAGTGACAGCTGCCACCTGGCAGTCAGCACGTCTCTCCTCCACAGCTCTGTCTTGAGGAGCAAGAACAGGGAACAGAAACTGCTCAAAGTTCTGCCTCCTTGAAAGCACTGAGATGTAACAATTTGCGAAGGGCCTGTGTCAGGTATGTAGAAACTCGCAGTGAGCCGGCCTCAGGGTGACATGGAAGCTCTTGACCAATACAGAAAGTTTGTTGTGTTGAAAGAAGAGGCTTTTCCTGACACAGGTTGGATGCGCTGCTAGATCTGGTTTAGACGATCACAGCGTGGAAGTGAGCAGTGGCTCAGCCGGCGCAGGCGTGAGGGCAGCTGGAAGTGTTTGGAAGCTCTGGGTAAGCCCTTCCTCTTCTGTGAACACACAGCCCTGGACACTAGGGCCACACAGGTGGCCCCCCCAGCTCCGCTCGTATCCCAGGTGTGTAGTGGTGCTTGGTACCCTCTAGGTGTATATAAATACACGCTGAGAAAATCGCCTAATAACCACTCCGCATCCCCATCACGAAGCAACAATACATCTAGCTCTGGTTTGTCGTGTTTGATGGTGTCCATGGGGTAACTTCTTTTTTTTTTTTTTTAATTAAAGATCTTTTTTTTTTTTTTTTTTTTTTTAAGAGGCATGTTTTATTTATTTGTTTGTTTGTTTGGTTTAGACATGCACTGGGTACAGTCAGAGGCGTGGGAGGGTGAGAGAATTCACCAGAGCCAGAGCAGGGAGCAGAGCAGGCAGAAGGACCGAAGTACACTGCTGAGGGGAGCAGCGGGCGGCAGGAGAGGTCCGCGCGCCATGGGGGACCCTCCTCCGGTGGCCGGGGAGCAGCCGGGGATCGAACCGGCACCGCAGAGGCCGCGGGCAGCTTCGCAACCCAGCGCTCAACCGCTGCGCCACCGGGGAGGTCCATGGGGTAACTTCTGCCGCCATGAAGGTGGCCATGTTTTTACAGCCACAGGTACTACCACAGACACTCCATTCCTGGTTGCCTCCTCCAGACCCTACCTGTGAGGTTGTCAGGAGGTCGCACCCTTCAAGTTCTCACCCACAAATTCATCTGCACCTTGCTGTAACTGTTGAGTGGTGCCTGGTTTGATTTCGCCCTGCTTTGACTCCCGGAGTATGTGCTGACTGTGGGGGTCCACCATCGTCCACCCTCCTGGCCAGAGTGGGCTCTCTCAACGGCTCAGGCTGAGATTCCCTGGGGAGCGTCTCATGGCCTTCATGTAGCTAAGGGCCTGGGCTGTTCCACCCCTGCGTCTCATGCGATCCCGGTGAGGTCTCTTCCTTCAGTGTATGCTTCCTTCAAGTCACAGCGGCCCTTGTGATCTGAGGTTGCTGCTCCAAGGATGCAATGGGAGAAAAGCAGGTGAGCACAGGTGGGTTGGTGAGAACTGCCAGGCCTCCCTGGTGGGAGGGCCCTGGTGGATGAGGGTGCTGGCACACCTGAGGAGGTGATTGGGCCTTGCGGCTTCCTCTGGAGGCTCCTCTTCCACCACTGCAGCACCGGCCACAGTGCCCGCAGGCTCCTTTGGGCCAGCAGCTCCATGCCCCTCACCCCATGTGCACCCACCCTGATTTGGGGTCCACTTGGGCAGCTGATGTGTAGTTGGGATTGTGCTGTTGTAAAAAGGAAGACTCTCCCTCTGAGGCAAAAATGTGATTCAGTCTCTGCAGCCAAGTAGGCATGCGAAACTCACCTGCAACGAGATTGTGCAGCACGCATCTTTAAGGAAAAAATGTCAACACAATGAACCACAGGCCTAGAGAGCGCAGAGGACACTGAAAATAAATGCCAGGAAAACTACGTGCAACTTAACAGTTTTATTGATAAATTATAGAAAACAAGATGGACACATTTCTGAAAGAAGCGACAGGGGAAATGCCTAATCCAGAGAGACATGCACCCGGCATAGGAGTGCAGTAAGCAAGAGGTACAGGAGTGAGATGTTCCGTGTTGCGAGAAAACCCCCAGCTGGACTTGTCTGGCCGTCATCCCTCGGTGATGTGCGGAAATACCTCTCAGAAAAGCCCGGCTGGGATTTGTGGCCTGACCTGTCCTCTCGGAACATTTCTGGTGCTGGGGCAAAAGGCCACAGGCCAGGCCTTTAGAACATTTCCCACAGGTGTGTGCTGGTACAGTTTCATCAGGCAGAAACTAAGCCCCGCCCGGGCCCAGCAGGCAGGTCTGGGCGGGCACATGAGGCTGCCTGGGGACAGGCATAAGACCCACCACCAGGACCAGAAAACCAGCCCAGATCCGGGAACGTGTGCTTAGGGCCCGGACCGCAGTCTGTTACAGGCTGGCGCCCCAGGCCAGACATTCCAGCAGATGACCAGGGCAAGCGGCACCCCAAGTTAGCTGCAAAACCAGTATGAGGTCCCAGGTCCTCCCGTCGTGCGTATGTCAACAAACCCGCCTCTCCTGTTCCCGCACCCCAGGCCTCCGGGTATTTCTCCCACCGCTGGGACCTGAGCAAGGCGGCAGCGAGCCCCCTGCCAGCCCGCGGAGCTCGCCCAGGACCGGACATCTGCACAGACGCCGGGGGCCGCCCTGGCGGCCCGGGGCTGCCCCCGCCGGACGGCTGAGCCAGCGGCGTCGGGGGAGCGCCGCCCCCACCGCGGACTACGCTTCCCAGAGGGCGCTGCGCGCGCGGCGGCGCCGCCGGCCAATGGGGGCTCGGGAGGCGCTTCCGGTCCGCGGCGCGGCGGGGCGGGGCTTCCGGCGTCCTCGGGCCGGCGCGCTGGGTCCCGGCTCCGGGCGGCGGGGGCGGCGGCCGGGAGGCGCGAGAAAGGAGGCCCCGGCGGGGGCGGCCGCACCAGGCCCGGCACCCCGCGCCCGCGCCCGCCCGCGCCCGCACGGCCCGATGGCGGCGGCCGCGCCGAGGGCCCCGGCCGAGGTAGGGGCGCGCCTCCCGCGGGGGGCGGGGGGCGGCCTGGGGCGCGCCTCCGCCGCGGGGCGTCCGGGGGGCGTCCGGGGGGCGCCCGTCCGCGGCGGGGCCGGACTCTGGCCGCGCCCATGCGGGGGGCTCCGCTCGGGCCCCGCGCCGCGCCCGGCCCGAGACCCCCAGCCGCCCGCCGGGGCCCCGGGGCGGTCCAGGGGCGGCCTCGGCGCGGCGCCCGCGGGGCCTCCGCGCGGCAGGGAAGGGCGTCCCGGGCCCCGAACCCGCCGCAGGTGTCTTCGCCGCCGCCGCCCTCCGCGGGGGTCCCGGGTCCTGAGAGCCCCGGCCGAGCCGCGGCCGCCCCGCGGGCGGGGGGGAGGCCGGTCCAGCGGGGCCTGCCGCGGGAGCTGCGGGGCCGCCGTCTTCAGGGGCGGGGCCGGCGCGCGGGGGACGGAGGGGCGGCCGGGGCTCCGAGGCGCGGGCCGTGGCCGCGGGCGGCGCTTCCCGGCCGGAAGGCCGCGGCCGCGCCGTGGGAAGACGCAGCCGGGCGCCCGAAGGCCGAGGGTGCGGCGAACACCCTCGTCGTCCGGCCGCGGGCTGGCAGGGCTGGCTGGCCTGGCCGTGCGCCCGTGAAGCCGGCAGGTTCTCTCCTCGCGTCGGCGGCGAGGCGTGCAAGGGGCGAGTGGGCGTCCCGGAGAGGGTGGCCGCGGCCTCACCTCAGACCCGCCAGGGGGTGGACGCGCCCTGCGCGCCGGCGCTGAAGGCGTTTCCTCCCGGGCGCGGTGGGAGTCTGGCGCTCGTCACCGGGAGTGTGCGCGTCGAGGAGCGGCCAGCAGAGCCTGGGAAACCTGGGGAGGAGCAGGGCGGAGGCTCCCAGGTGGCGTCACTGTGCTAGGAGGGGCAGCGTCCAGGGCGTGGTGGTTAAGGGGTTGGGGGGCCAGATGTGGGAGTGGATCTCCTGCTTGGTGGTTCGGTGTACTCGATGGGGCACTCCGCCCGGGGTCCAGTGCGTCCAAGGGCAGACGGGTCGCCAGGTCACTGCGGTTTATTCATTATGGACACACCTGTGTTTTTTGAGGATTTGGTGCGACCTGGGGCATTTCATTCAGCCCGGTGGGTGTGGTCAGGCGCAGCTGTGATCGGAGGCACACTCTTGTCCTGGCTGGCAATGGGTGGGACTTGTGTCTTGGGCATCGGTGGGCCTGACAATGTGTATTTGCTGAGGTGATCGCAAGTGCGTCACAGAAGTAGGCTTGGGCTAAGGGAACTTGAAGTCTGGGTGTCGTCTTCATCCATGGATCGGAGCAGCGGTGCAGTGAGGCCTTCCTAACATGGCTTCAGTGACATTGCACTCGGGGGTCATGGGAAACCTGAGGTCATATGGGATCCTGTTGAATTTCCTGTGGACAGCCTGGGTGCTGTCCACTGAGTTGTAATGAAAGGTCTGAACCCCTGGGGCCTCCCTAGTGGGGCAGGGGTTAAAGTCTCAGCACTGTGAAGCTGTCTGCAGCCACTGCAGCCTGAGTTCAATCCCTGGCCAGGGAGCTCCCCTCGTGGTGCAGCAGACCTCTCCTGTCTCCCTGCTGCTCCCCTCAGCAGCATATTGAGTGAATCCGCCTGTTCTGCTTCCCATTCTGTCTCTGGGGAGTCCTGTCACCCCTGCACATCTGGCCTGCACCCCAGTTCGTGTATACATAAATAAATCAATATTTTTTTTTTTAAGACTTATTTATATAAGAGCTGGGGTACAGGCCAGATGCGTGGGAGAGTGAGAGGATTCACCACAGACAGCAGGGAGCAGAACGGGCAGACGAACAAAACACTGCTGAGAGGAGCAGCGGGCGAGGCAGGAGAGCCATGTGGGAATGTCCCTGGCCAGCTGGGAATCGACCCCGCGCTGCAGAGGGTGCGGACAGCCCCACAGCGCTGTGCTCAACCCGCTGCGCCACCGGGGAGGCCCTCGATAAATAAATCTTTAAAAAAACAAGAGCCCAGCGTAATGTGCTGCTTTCACGTTTGTTGGAACGAGGGCGTCCTCGCCTGGCCTGAGCGCAAGTTCCCGTGGCGTCTCCCGGGGGGTCGTGTCCAGGCGCGGTTCCTGCTGCTTCCGTTGGAACGGGTTTCAGCCCCTTCCAGTCCACAGAGATTTTCAAAGAAACCAGTCACGGCCTCACGTGGGAGCGGGGGCATCCCCACCTCTTCCTCTCGCGCAGCTTGCACCCAAACTCCCGGTTTCCCAGGCGGCATGCGGGCCTTTTTGGTGGCTGGTGGCTATTCGAGCGCTGCGCGTGTGTGATCGGGAAGCTGCCCTCAGTCTCGTCTGTGCAAACCCCGGTGTCCCGTACTTGGGCCCCAGCCCAGCAAGGGTGGGTTGGGAGGCCGTGCTTTGAGTGCAGGTGACACGCGGGAGGGCAGGGAAATGCCTGTGCTGTGGGCAGGGAGCGCTCGAGGCCTTGCCCCTCGGGCTGGGCACGCGGAGGCTGGAGAGTGTGCAGTTGCACAGCCCGCTGGCCCCGGGGGCGGCGCTCACGCTCACGCGACAGGACCCCCTCGGGGGTCACTTCGCAGCGGGGCGCGGATCACAGCGTGGCGCCCTGGTCCGTGTCTGCCTCTGCGTGCCGGCGCTTGGGCCCGGGGATGACGAATACGAGGACTCGGGGGCCTGGGTGGCCCCAGGGCTGCCTGGCCCTCTGCGCGGGAGCCTCGGGAGGTGCCCGGTCACAGGGCCGATGCTGGGCTGGGGTTCCGGCTCCTGAGTGGTTCCATCTGTCCCCCGGAGCAGGGCAGGGTCGCCCGGAGGACGTGGCGGTGGACTTTCCCTGGGAGGAGCGGGGTCTGCTGGAGGGGCGCCGAGAGGCCCGTTCCGCGGCGTGGGGAGCAGCTGGGCCGCTTGGCGCTCGTGGCCGCCTTGGGCAGGACCAGAAACCTTCCTCCAAGCCCGGAGCTGGTCTCGGCCTTTCCCCTGGCGGGGGGCTGTGGGGCTCGGGCAGGGAGTGTGCTCCCTCCTCTCCCCCGGCAGTCCCCAAACCCGACTCCCTGCGGCCTCCCGGGACGGCCCAGACCCAGGAGTCTTGCGCGCAGCCTGTGCATCCTCCCCCCTGCTTGCCCTGCTGCTGGCTGCCCGTCGGGCTCCAGATCCCTCGCATCTGAGCCCGGGTTCTGCTGCTTGCTCCTGGTGTTCCCTCAGGAGCGCCCCGCCGTGCCATCTCCCATGCGGTCCGGGCGCTTTTCCTCCGAGACCCCCGCAGTGTGCTTGCCTGAGCCCTGGCCCGCGACAGCGTGTGCCGTGCGGCGGCTTTCCCTCGGCGCTGGCATCATCCGACGCCCATGTGTTTGTTCCTCTTGTGAGTGGACAGTCCTCGGGGTCCACACGGCGGGGGTGTGCCCAGCCTCAGCACGCGGGCGTTCGCAGCTCGGGCTCTGCACAGTGTGTTGGGAAGGCGGCGCGGCGGGCAGAGGATACCAGGGACCCCTCTGGCCAGTATTGTGGTGTTAGAGCTGGCGGCGGTGCCCTCGTCCTGCCCGTTGCCTGGCACTTTCGCCACTTAATGGTTGCATGCGGTGGCGCTTCTCGTCTTAATCCGGCCTGTGGCTGCTCCTCGAATCTTGTCACCCGTTTTTCTTACTCCTCCGCCCGTTGTGGCCTCAAACATTGGCCTTTGTTTCTGTTTTTGAAAGATTTATTTATTTTTATAGAGGAACCAAGGTACAGGTCAGATGTGCGGGAGGGTGAGAGGACTCACCCGAGACAGAGCGGGCAGCAGAACAGGCAGACGGGCCGAAGGCGCAGCTGAGGGGAGCAGCAGGCGAGACAGGAGAGGTCTGCCGCGCCATGAGGCCCGGCCTTTGTATTTTGTACTGTGCACGTGCACCCCTTCAGCTCGTCTTCTCTGCTGGTGTCATAGTTCTGTCTTCTTTTTAAATATTTATTTCATTTATGCACACAAGAGTTGGGGTGCGGGCCAGAGGTGGGGGCAGTGAGTGGACTCACCAGAGACAGAGTGGGGAGCAGAGCAGGTGGATCCACTGAGACACACTCCTGAGGGGGGACAGGAGAGGTCTGCCGCACCCTGTGGGTAGCTCCCTGGCCAGGGATCGAACTCAGGCCGCAGCGGCTGCGGATGCTTCGTAGTGCAGACACTTCACCCCTTGCGCCACCAGGGAGACCCCATAGCTCTGTTCTCCCGGGTGAAGCACCCACCTGCATGGTCACCAGCAAACAACCTGCCGACAGCCGCGTGCAGAGGCATGTTCCCTGGTGCCCCTCCTGTGCGGTGCGCATCTGCTCGCCCAGGCTGCTGCCGTGGATAATGGATAAGGCTGCTGTGGCGTTGTAGTTTACGTGCGACTGAGATTTGGTTTCTAAAGAGTTCAAATTTATAAATTTCCTCCGGCGAAGTAATGCCGTTGCTGTGTTCCGGAGCGCGGCTTCTGCTCCTTGGAGCGTTGCGACCCTCGGTGTCCCTCGTCCCCCCTGGGCCTCCCGGGAGCCCCCGCCTGTCCAGCTTCTGCCCGGCCCGCGCACGCTGCTCTCTTCGGAACGCCCTTCCCAGGGCGCCACTCTGGGAAACTTCCGCGCATGCACTGCAGGCGGGACCGCGGCAGGGAAGACCCACGTGTTCTCAGAGCATCTCCCCGCACCCTGTACCCGAGCTCCGGCCGGGCCGGGCCTCTCCCTTTCTCCTTGTCCGGCTCCGTGAAGGACAGACGCGCGCGCGATGCTGCCCTCCCTGAGCTGCTGCGGGGAAGGGCCGTGCGTGTCGAGTGTGTCGCACCGGGTTTGGGCTCAAAGTGAACAAGCTGCAGTCGCCGTGAGGCCGTCCGCGGACGCGGGCCGCCCTGACCCTGGATGCCGCGTCCCCGTCCCCGTGGCGGGCTCCAGCGGTCCAGCCGTGAAGTAGAAAACACAAGTTGGGTGCGGGGGAGGGAGCGGGGCGATCCGGGGTGGTTCTTCCTGCGAGGGGATGAAGCTGGAAGGAGCTAGCGTGTACCAGGCAGTTGCACGACTCTGTCTCCCCCACGCGAAGCGCTGGGTCTGCGTGCAGGGGGCACCGGAGAGGGGGGCTGTGCCGGGACGCTCCTGCTGGCTCCACCTGGCCTCCAGGCTTGCTTTCTCTTGGCTGCTTTCCTCCCGCCTCTCCGGCCAAGGCCCTTCTCCCAGCAGGAGCCCGCGAGCAGGGCTGTCGGGTGGTCAGCAGGGCCTACCCCGGTCCAGTTTCCCGATGCAGCCCGGCGCACCGTCTCAGTGGGGCCCGCGGTGGAGACAGTTCCCCCGTACCAGCCCTTTGGGGCCCTGCTGCCCCCCCCCTCAGCGCTCCTGCCTCCCACGCGCGGAAGGGTTCCTGGCGTGGATTGTGTGTCTCGATTCCAGTGGAAAGTCCGTGCCGAGTGACCACTCCCCCTGAGGAGACCCGGGGCCCGCGCCCGTGTCATAATTCCTGTCCTCTCCCCCCTGTCCCCGTCTCGGCAGGGCGGCGTGACCTTCGAGGACGTGGCCGTCTGCTTCTCCCGGGAGGAGTGGGGGCTCCTGGACGAGGCCCAGCGGCGCCTGTACCGGGACGTGATGCTGGAGACCTTGGCCCTTGTGGCCTCTCTGGGTAGGTCCTCGGAGTCTCCCCGGTTCCTGAACCAGGGCCTGTCCTTCCGTTTTCCCCGGAAGTAACTGTCCTCACGTCAGCACCGTGAGCACCGCTCCCCGGGCCCCCGGGCAGGCGCTGCCAGCTCGTCTTCTGAGCTGACCCAGACCCGCTTCCCTGCAGCCTCCCAGGAAGGCGCTCGGGTCAGGAGCCCTGCAGGACGCCTCCCAGCCGTGCCTCCCTCCCGCTCCTCCTGGCCGGAGGCGCTGCCTCACTATCTGGCCTCTTTATGCCCCCGGTTCCTGCTCTCGATGACACTTACTCCTGCCCACCTGCGCGGGAATTCATTTCTGAGGTGGCCCGTGTGCCGCCCGTGCCTGTCCCCTCCGGTGTCCTTGCTGCACATCCTCACCTGGGCCCACTCCCTTTAGCTGGACATAAGTCCACGGCCTCCTCCTGGGTGGGCCAGGCCCAGCCCCCTCCGGAGCCCGCGTGCACGTCACCAGCTTGTCTTGCTTTCAGGTGGTCGCCAGGAGGTGGAGAGCGAGGAGGCTCCTTTCCAGCAGAGTGTTTCTGTACAAGGACTGTCGCAGGCCTGGGCTCCCGAGGCGTGTCTGTCTGCCAGGAAGTCCCTCCCCTGTGAGGTGGGCGGCCTGAGACCGACCGACGTTTGGCCCCGGGTTGAGCACCAGAGGACCCCTTGTAAGCAGAAACTTCTCCGCTGTTGGGCTTGTGGGAAGCAGCTGTGTGTCAGCCCGGACCTTCAGCAGAAGCCGTGCCCTGGGCCGAAGGCCTTCAGAGGCGGCGCGGACGGAGCTTCGTCGGTGAGGAGCCGCACACGCCTGGTGTCGGGAAGGCCGTTTGGCCTCAGCGTGGGTGGGAAGGATGTTCTGGCCGGGTCGGAGTTTGCCCAGCAGCAGGCCGCTCATCCCAGGGAGAAGGCCGACCGTGGGACTGAGTACGGGGCGGCCTTTCACAGAGAAATAACCCTTAGCAGCTGGGAGGACTCCGTGAACGCCTTCGACTGCGACCAGAGGCTTGTTCAGCACCAGAGTCTCCTCGGCAGTGAAAGTTGTTTTATGTGCAATGAATGTGGGGGCTCCTTCAGCAGCGACTGCAGCCTCAGTCAGTATCAGAAAGCCCTCGCTGGAGAAAAGCCTTTTGTGGCTGAAGACTGTGGAACATTACTTAGAAAGACCAGCGGTGTTGAACGCCCGAGAGGAAACAGCAGGGAGAGACCGTACACTTGCGTGGAGTGCGGGAAGTCGTTCACCAGGAGCTCCAACCTCATGACACACCGCAGAGTGCACACGGGGGAGAGACCTTACGACTGCGGGGAGTGCGGGAAGTCGTTCAGTCGCAAGTCCAACCTCATCGTGCACCACAGAGTTCACACCAGAGAAAAACCGTATGAGTGCAGCGAGTGCGGGAAAGCATTTTGCCAGCGCTCTACCTTAATTCAGCACTGTAGAATTCACACTGGAGAGAGGCCTTACGATTGCGGCGAGTGTGGAAAGTCTTTCACGCGGTACTCCGCGTTCCGGCAGCATCAGCGGCGTCACACTGGATTAAGGCCCTACGAGTGCACGGAGTGTGGGAAGTCCTTTGCCGAGAACTCCAGGCTCATTAAACACACGAGGATTCACACTGGAGATCGGCCTTACAAGTGCGGTGAGTGCGGCAGGAGTTTTTGCCAAAGATCTTCGCTCCTTCGACATCAGACGGTTCACACTGGAGAAAGGCCTTATAAGTGTGGGGTTTGTGGGAAATCCTTTGGCCAGAAACCCAACCTCATTCAACACTGGACTGTGCATAGCACAGAGAGACCTTTTAAATGTGGGGAATGTGGGAAATCCTTCAGGCGGAAGTCCGAGCTCTTTGAACACCGAAAAGTGCACACTGGAGAAAAGCCGTACGAGTGTGGGGAATGCGGGAAGTCCTTCAGCCAGAAGTCCAACCTCAACATACACCAGATAGTGCACACCCGGGAAAGGCCGTACAAGTGCAGCGAGTGCGGGAAATCGTTTAGCCAGAACTCCACTCTCGTGAAACACCGGCGCATCCACACTGGCGAGAGGCCTTACGAGTGCGGCGAGTGCGGGAAGACGTTTAACCAGAGTTCTGCTCTCCGGCAGCATCAGCGACGCCATTCTGGAATAAGGCCGCACGAGTGTGCGGAATGTGGGAAGTCCTTTGCGGAGAACTCCAGGCTCATCAAGCACCGAAGGGTGCACACGGGAGAGAGGCCTTATGAGTGCGGTGAATGCGGGAAGGCCTTTGCCGACAACTCCAATTTCATCCTGCACAGGCGCGTCCACACCGGAGAGAGGCCCTATGAGTGCGGCGAGTGTGGGAAAGCCTTTAACCAGAGTTCCGCGCTCCTCCAACATCAGAGAGTCCACAGTGGGGAACGCCCTCATACGTGTGGGAAATGTGGGAAGTCCTTTGCTAAAAAGTCCAGTCTTAATAAACACAGGAGCCTTCACACTGTGGAAAGCGCTTGAAGTCTGGCCCAGGCCCGACATCCTTTCCTCACCACTCCACTCTCCGGATGCATCGCCGCGTCACGGCGGATGATGGACTGCAGTGTGATGGGGGCGGGAAATCCAGGCGTCGGAACTCTAGGCGAGGCCGCGGTGCACAAGGAGGCCTGACCGTGCAGTGCATGCGAGAAGGCCCGAGGCTTCCTCAACACACGCGGGGTGTTTTATTTCCCGCTCAGTGTCAGCGCGCTGGGAAGACGCCTCCTGCGGGCACGGTCTGCCTGGAATGAGCTTCATTCGGATGGAACTTTCCACGTGAGCCCACTTGGATCCCACCTGCTGAGGACCGACTTCGGATTCACCCAGGGCCCCTACCAGGTGATGCCACTGCTAGTTCTGTTGCAAAAGCCATTTCACCTCTGTCACTTGGGAGGAGCTCATGGGGTGCAGCGTGGCGGCCCCCCCCCCCCCCCCCGCCGCCGCAGGGTGTCCAGGGAAGCAAGCTGCAGGGTTCTTCCGTTCGCAGGAAGAATTTATAGAAGTCTGAGTGCTCGTCCCTTTTTGTATATTCTCTTGGGCATCAGATCATAGGCCTGACCCGTCCGTGGCTCGGAGAACTACGCGCCTGACAGCACGGACTGCCTTTTCTAAAGAGATTGTTCTCACATGAATCCTGTGACTTTTCCAGCCTTTTAATTCTCCGCGTCTGGGAACAGTTTGCCTCCTGTGGCTTTAGTTCGTGTGAGAAAATTTAAGCTATTTTATGCTTAAGCTATCGTCACTGTGATCGTTTGAAAACAACTGGTTTCCTCTAAATAAAGCCGTGAGGAGCTTGCTCCTGGGTCGCAGACTGGCTCAGCGGGGACAGCGTGAGGGCAAAACATAGCTCTCTGGCTTTGACTTAGTTTCATTGCTGGCCACGGGCTCCAAAGAGAGGCTGCGGGATTTGTGATCGTGTTTGCAGCCTGGAAGCCAGTTTGTATGTCAGAGGTCTGGCTGTAGAAGGGTCGCATGTGACAACCTTCACTGTTTTTTTTTTTTAAGATTTTTTTTTTAAATTTATTTATACAAGAGCTGGGGCACAGGCCAGAGGCGTGGGAGAGGGGATTCACCAGAGACAGAGTGGGGAGCAGAACAGGCAGAAGGACTGAACTACTGAGGGGAGCAGTGGGGAGACAGGAGAGGTCTGCTGCGCCCTGTGCAGTCTCCCTGGCCAGCTGGGATCGAGCCAGCACTGCAGAGGCTGTGGACAGCTCCACAGCACTGTGCTCAACTGCTTGTGCCACCAGGGGGGTCCCAATCGTCACTGCTTTTGAGAGCAAAAAAAAAAAAATCCTTCCTTTTCACCTGGATTGTTGCATTGTGCTCGGCACTGGTGAGGGAGGTCAGTCCCCAGGTAGTTCCGCGGACCCGTGTGTTCTAATGTCCACGGCTTCACAGACTTGTATCACAGAAGCGGTGGTTGCGTAAGCAGGGGGCTAACTGTACGAAAAGCTCACTTTAAAGGAAGGGGAAGAGACGGCCACAAACTTGCTGGACTGAACCTCTTTCAAGGTGCATGTGTAATAATACTCAGTGGCTCTGAAGGAGAAGCAAGGTCACGAACACGGCAGCCTGTATGCGCGTGCGTGGATAGGGCATGTCCTTGTTAACTGAGGTCACGGTGAGTGGAAAACACCTAAATGTTCTGTGAATTCGTGTCGCCTGTCTGGGTTGTTTACATCAGGGCGATTGCTGTGCAGGCAGGAAAATGGGGTTCGAGGCCTTCCTAACTGTTGGGTCCTGCGGGCTGGGCCCTCCCTCCATGCCTCACCCCTGTTTGCTGGAACTGAAGCAGGGCGGTGAGGAGCAGGTCAGGTCACCACGTTTGTGAGACTGATTTTCCGTAGGAGTAGGAACGCAGTTGTCCCACTGCACCGGATTCTCAAAGCTTTAATAAGGCGCCGAAGATATGCCACGAAGCTGCTTGTATTTAAACTATACAATGTGATGATTTTTAATCTTCGTATTAAAAACCATCCTCGCTACCACATAGTCACCTTCTCACTTTCCTTCATGCGATGTCACTTTCTCTGCTCCCTCTGCCCTCCCGGCATCCATTCATTCACTTTCCATTACAAAAGAAGAGTTTGCACTTCCTAAGGTTTCTTTTCAGAAAGCTGTTGCTCCCCGCCCCCCCACTGAGATGCGTCACCGGTGCTCAAGGGAAGAGTTCATTTTATGTTGCTGAGAGCTGCCATGGTCTGTGGCTACACCACTGTTCATTCACCTGTTTATGCATATTTTAGTTGTTTCCATAATAGGACTTTTGTAAATAAAATCGGGACAGATGTTATGCACGTGTTGCATTTCTCCTGTGTTGATTTCTTGGAGTACCATGCCTGAGGCACAGCGGGTGAGCACATACTTTTGTTTAAGAAACCCCGCGTTCCAGTAGGAATGTGTGTTCCCCTTTGTGTTCCTACCAGCAGCGTGTGAGACTTCCAGCCCTTTTATAATTGGGTGGCCGTATATATCACACTGGGATTAATTGTATTTTCATGATGTTGAACTTTTTTAAATTTATTTGCCACTTGCTTATCCTTTTTGGTAAAGTGTCCATATTTTTGGCTATTTTAAAAAATGATTTCTGCTCCCTTTTTTTCTAGCAAGACTTTCTGCTTCATTCTGATGCCTGCCAGAAAAGCCTTCATCTACTTTGTTTTTCTCATCACATAATATGCTAATATTGCATAATATCGCGTAATATGCTACAAATTTATTGATCTTCCTCCTTCAGTTCTTGGGGTTACATCTGTGCCTTATCAACTCAGGATGTCCCCAGGACTTTTTACTCCAGTGGAATTGTTTTGTTCCTGGTATTCGTTGTAAATCAAAATATTTTTGTAGCATAAAATTTATTTTTTTAAAGATTTATTTATTTATACAAGAACTGGGGTACAGGTCAGAGGAGCGGGAGGGTGACACAGGCCAGAGGTGTGGGAGGTGAGAGGATTCACCAGAGGCAGAGTGGGGAACAGAACCGGCAGACAGACTGAAATACACTGCTGAGGGGAGCAGCAGGCAAGACAGGAGAGGTCTGCTTGGCTGCTGGGGATCAAACCGGCACTGCAGCAGCTGCGGACAGCTTCACAGTGCTGTGCTTAACCGCCATCCGTAGCATAAATTTTTTTTTTTAAAGATTAGTTTATGTATACAAGAGCTGGGTTACAGGCCAGAGGTGTGGGGATGGGGGGCGGTGAGAGGATTCACCAGAGACAGTGGGGAACAGAACAGGCAGATTGACCAAAGTACACTGCTGAGGGGAACAGCGGGCGAGTCAGGAGAGGTCTCCTGCGCCATGTGGATTGCTCCCTGGCAGGCTGGGGATTGAACTCATGCTGCAGTGGTTGCAGACAGCTTCACGGTTTGCATCTTAACCCCTTGTGCCACCAGGGAAGCCCCCGTAGGGTAAAATTTAAATCACAAGTGGTACTCTTTCCTAAATGACTACACCCTTAATATTTTCTGTTACCATGAAATCCCATGAATAACTTTAATCATTAACACACAGTTTTAGAAAATATTTCATGAATATTTAAGAATAAAGCTTGGGGCCTCCCTGGTGATGCAAGAGGTTAAGTCTTAGCAATGTACAGCTATCAGCAGCCACTGCAGCACAAGTTCGATCCCTGGCCAGGGAGCAGAACCACATGGCGCAGCAGACCTCTCCTGTCTCCCCGCTGCTCCCCTCAGCAGTGTATTTCAGTCAGTCTGCCTGTTCTGCTCCCTACTTTGTCTCTGCTGAATCCTCTCATCCCCCCACCCACCACAGGCCTACACCCCAGCTCTTGTATTCATAAATCTTTTTAAAAAATTAAGCTTATGAGTTAAGCAATCTGAAACAGATTTTTTTTATACTTTATTTTAAATCAAAATATTCTGGTGGCTTAGGAGTTAGTGTCGGCGTTGTCACCACAGCGGATCCCTTGCCAGGGAGCCGACCCACAGGGCACAGCAGACCTCTCGTCTCCCTGCTGCTCCCCTCAGCAGTGGATTTCAGTGGATCCACCTGTCTGCTCCCCACTCTGCCTCTGGTGAATCCTCTCGCCCCCACACCTCTGGCCTATGCTCCAGTTCTAAGCAAAAATCAATCCATCTCTGGAAGACTAAAGAACATAACATGGGCCCACAAATATAAAGTTGATTAAGTGGTATGGTCAAGCAGGGACTTACACTCCAGACAATCACACTTTGAGCACTTGTTTTCCTTCATCAGCAGATAGGACGGTGAAGCCCACTGGCCCCTGCTGAAGAGCACAGGGCAGGAGCGCTGAGGTGTGTGGAGGAGTTTGCCTAAGACAGTGCACAGGTTTGTGGTCCTGATAATCCTGATAGAAAACAAGAGGGAAACACACACCAGGAATAGAGGGTTGCTTGGGACTCTGGCCTCGTGGGGAAGGGGATGGGAGGCTCCCGTCGTGCACCTGACGTGCTCTGTGGTGGTGCAGGGCCACCGTGGCCGACCGTGAGGCCACCGCATCTATCCACAATGAAGGACACTGGCAGACTACATATATTTCTGGAATATTGGTAAACAGTGAGCAGTTTCTGTAGCGTCTTTTTTAAAGCTTGATTCATGCAGGCATACAAGAGCTGGGCCCAGGCTGTGTCTTCCGGGAGCTGGGCCCAGGCTGTGTCTTAACTGGCGCCATTCCCTTTCCCCCCATCTTTAGGCCACCTGTCTTCAGCACGGTGAAATTCTGTCACGGGGCGTTCCAGCACCCAGCGGAGGCAACGAGGTAACGTATCCCGTCCTGCGTGGGCTCACTGTGGCGTCACGAGCCCCCGCAAGCTCCAGGGCCATTTAGATCAGGAGGTTTCTGGCTGGGATCCAGCTGAGCGGGCCGCGCCTGCGGTAACGGCCCTCGGCGCCTTTAAGAGCCAGGAAGCTCCTCCCTCCTCGCGGTTGGAGACCGTTTTCCCACCTTACGTCACCACCCCGGCGCCGAGGTCCCACCGGGTCACGGTCCCCGCGCGCCCTCTGGCGGCCGGACGGCGACACGACACCCCCGAAGTACAGTGACCAGAGGCGGCTCCAGGCGAGCGCAGCCCAGCGCCGGGACTTCCGGCCGCGTCCCCGCGAGTGCCCGGCCCGGCCCGGCGGAGGCTCCCGCGGGGCCCGGTGATCGCCCGCGTGGACGCGTGGCCGGGGGCTCCGGCGGGGCTGCCAGCGACGCGCGGGTCGACGTCCCGCGTGAGGGCGCGATGGCGTCCGGCGGCCGCTCCGCTCGGGGCCCGCGAGCCCGGCGGGGGTTCAAACGGGAGTCGGCCGCGACCCCCGGGCCCACGGCGGCGGCGGCGGAGCTCGGGCGGCCCCCCTCGCCGCGCCACCAAGTGCGCGCGGTCGCTCCGCGGGCGAGGCGGGGCCGCGGCGTCCGGACCGATCGTCGGGGCGCGAGCAGTGGGGCGAGCCCGGCCCGATCTCCCCGTCGGGGCCGCGTGCGCGCTCCTCGCGCGCCCTCCAGCGGCCAGAGCGCGGCACTGCCCCACCGGGTGCGGGGACGTCGGCGCGCTCGGCGCGGGGCGGGACTTCCGGCCGCGCCTGCCAACCGGCCGCTCCCGCGCCTCCCGGGTTTTCTCTCGGTCGGAGCCTCCGCGGCGCCGCCTTCGCTTTCACCGCGGAGAGGCGCGGCCGGCGCGGAGGCGGCCGAGGGGTCGCGGCGGCCCTGGAGCCGCGCCAGGCCCGGGACCCCGCCCGCGCCCCGCACGGCCGGATGGCGGCGGCCGCGCCCAGGGCCCCGGCTGAGGTAGAGGCCCGCGCCGCGGCGTCCGGGCCGGGCTGTGGGGTCCCGCGCGGGGTCCCCGAGCCGGTCGCGGGGTCCGGGCGGGCGGAGCCCGAGCTCCCGGGAGCCGGGTCGGTGTGGGTCCGCGGGCGCCGGAGCGGAGCGGGCCCCGGTCGAGGGTCCCGCGAGTGGACATCGAGGGACGCGTCGCAGGTGGCGCCGGGCGCGGGGGCCCGGGAGGCCCCGAGGGCAGCGGACGGGCCGGGCGGCGCGCAGTCCGGGCCCCTGCGGTTCCTGCCGGTCGGACTCGTCGCGGTCGCGTGACGGGCTGGGGCGCTGCCCGGCGTCGGCCGTGCCCAGGCTGAGGCTGGAGCCGCCGCGGCCAGGGGGGCGCCTGAGGGGCGCCGGGGTGTGGGGCCCGGCTGTGACGAGTGCGGCCGCGGCGGCCGCGGAGGGGGGCGCTGGGGCCCCAGGAGCCTCTTCCGCCCCCACCCCGCCCCCCACCCCGGGCCCGTCGGCGGCCTGAGGTTGTGCGCGGTCGCCCGCCCGGCCCCGGGAGGGCTGCCCTCGGGACGGCGGCGCGGGGCACCGGCCCGCAGAACAGACCAGGACTTCGGCGGCGGTCCCCTGCCCGGGCTTGCTCTGGAGACCCGGACGCGGCGCTGACCGGACCCCAGGAAGGGGCAGGCCTCGTGCCGCAGGGCCCGGCACTGCCCTGAGGCTCCGCTCTGCAGGTGGAGGCGGGGCGGGTTCTCGGCGGGAGAATGTGCCCTTCGGCTCCTTGCCTGGCAGGCTGGCGTGGCCTTCGAGGACGTGGCCGTGCTCCTCTCCCGGGAGGAGTGGGGGCGCCTGGACCGGGACGTGATGCTGGAGACCTTGGCGCTCACGGCCTCGCTGGGTAAGACGCTCCCAGCCCCCGCAGACCCACCCCCGGGAGGTGCCCTGGCCTCACTCGGGCGCTGTGGGCCCTGCCGGCCCCGCGCTCAGGGCAGGTGCTGTCCTCGGGGGCCGGGCGGTGTCACTGTCCGTTCCTCTCCCCGCATCCCCAGGACTGTCCGACGGAAAAGGACTTAAGGTCAGCCGCTGGCGGTGAGTCTGACGGTGCCGCCTTGCCCGCTGCCTCGCTGGGTCTGGTGTCGCGATCCCTGGCACTTGTGTCCCGGGCGTTGTTCCACTTTGGTATCCGACACTCCCTACTGCCTGCCCCTGCCGGCTCGCCAGCCAGTGTCGTCCTGGTCTTTCCCAGGACCTGGGACTGTTGTCCCAGACAACCCCGAAGGCTCTTTTCATAGCGTTTGCGCTCGTCTTTTCTTGTATACATTTAAATTGCACAGTGCCAGGATTTGGGATCTGTGATTTGCACAATCAAATTTCTTCACATAGCCGTCAGGTGACATGTTGCCATTTTCATGCATTTGCGAACACTTGACATTTACTCTCTCGCTGGTCACCATGTCGATCCTCAGAGCTTGCTCTGCCCATCTTCCCCCCACTTCCCCTTGGCCCTTGGCATTCTCATCTTTGTTTCTGGGGGTCAAGTTTTTATTTGTTTGGGTTTTCTTGTGGGTCCATAAAATTTATTTTTCCGTTGGTGTGAACATGTTATTGAAATTTTCATATGATTTGCACTGAACCTCTTGTTTGTTCTGGGTTAAATGGACATTTTAACAGTGTTAATTCTTCCAGGCCAAGGAACACTGGACAATTTTCATTTAAGTATGTCTTCATCAGTTTTCTTCATCAATGTCTTATCATTTTTAGACTGTAGATCTCTCACCTCCTAGGTGAAGTTAGTTTCTGAGTATTTTATTCTTGTATGCTATTTTAAATGGGATTGTTTTCTTAATTTTCTTTTTATTTATTTAAAAAATTTTTTTTAAAGATTTATTTATTTATTTATACAAGCACTGGGTACAGTCAGAAGCACGGGAGGGTGAGAGAATTCACCAGAGCCAGAGCGGGGAACAGAACAGGCAGGTGGACCGAAATAAACTGCTGAGGAGAGCAGCGGGCAGCAGGAGAGAGGTCTGCACGCCATGTGGGACCCTCGTCCGGTGGCTGGGGATCGAACTGGCGCTGCAGAGGCTGCCGGCAGCTTTGCAACCCAGTGCTCAACCGCTGCACCACCGGGGAGGCCCTAAACTTTCTTTTTAGATAGTTCATTATTAGTGTATAAAACACAACTGAGTTTTATTTATTGATTTTTTTTTTTCATTATTCTGCAACTTTACCGAATTTACTAGTTCTGCCACAATAGTTTTTGGTGGAGTCTTTATAGTGTTCTAATATAAGGTTGTGTCATCTGCAAACAGAAAATTTTACTTCTGTTCCTACTGGGATTCCTTTTATTTCTTCCCTAATTGATCTGACTGGGATTTCCAGTACTATGTTAAATAAAACTGGAGCGACTGGGTCTCCATGTCTTTTCTGCATTTAGAGGGAAACACTTTTTGATTGTTGAGTGTGATGTAAGCTGTGGCCTCTCATGTATGCTGAAGTACATTTCTCCTATACCTAATTAGTTTGACGGTTATCATAAAGCAATACTGAATTGTGTCAAATGCTTTTTCTACATCTATTGTTATGATTATATATTTTTTTTCCTTCATTCTGTTAATGTTGGTGCATCACAATTACTGATTTGCACGTGTTGAACCATCCTTGTATCCCAGGGATAAATCCTCCCTGCTGGAGGTATGTGATACTTTTAATGTGCTGGATTCAATGTGTTGGATGCAGTTTGCAAGTATTTGGTTGAGGATTTTTGCATCTGTGATCATCAAGGTTATTGGCATATAATTTTTTTTCTCATGTTGTCCTTTGTCAGGGTAATGCAACCTCAGAATATGAGTTTTGAAGTGCTTCCTCTTCCATGTTTTTAGAAGCCTTCGGGACGGATTGATGTTGATTTTTCTGTAAATATTTTGCAGAATTCCCAGTGATACTTTGGTCCTGTGCTTTTCTTTGTTGCGAGATTTTTGGTTAGTGGTAAATCTTCTTACCAGTTACAGGCCTTTTCAGATTTTCTGTTTCCTCATGCATCAGCTTTGGTAGGTTGTATGTTTTGGGAATTGATCATTTTCTTCAGGGTTATCCAATTTGTTGACATTTCAATATTCAAAGTTTCATCTGATTAATTGTACTCATTCAGTATCAGTTGTGACATTTCCTCTTTCATATTTGATTTCTTTTGAGTTTTCTCTCTTAGTTTGGCTAAATCTTCGTCAGTCTTAAAAAAATCAGCTCTTGGTTTTATTGATCTCTTCTCTTATTTTTCTGTTTTTTAGTTTTTAAATTTTTTAATTAATTTTTTCAGATTTATGTTTCATTTATGCAAGAGCTGGGGTACAGGCCAGATGCGTGGGAGGGTGAAAGGATTCACCAGAGTCAGAGTGGGGAACAGAACAGACAAACTGACTGAAATCCACTGCTGAGGTGAGCAGCGGGGAGACAGGAGAGATCTGCTGCACCATGTGGGAATCTCCCTGCCCAACTGGGAATCAAACTGGAGCTGCAGAGGCTGCAGATAGCTTCACAGTACTATGCTCAACATGCTGCACCACCGGGGAGGCCCTCTAGTTGTTATTTCTTTTCTTTCTTTTGTCTTTTGTCTTTTTTGCTTTAATTTTTGTCGCTTGCATCTTTCTGCTAACTTTGACCTTAGTTTTCTCTTCTTCATACCTTAAAGTATAGAGTTAGGTTGTTTGATATCTTTCTGTTTTGTTAATGTAGGCACTATCACTCTAAAATTCCCTCTTACACCTTGTTTAGCTGCATCCCATCAGTTGGTTTTTTTTTTTTTAAGATTTTTTAATTTTATTTGTACAAGAGCCAGGGTACAGTCCAGATGCGCGGGAGGGTGAGAGAGCATTCACCAGAGAAGACAGAGCGGGGAACAAAACAGGCAGACTGACGAAACACACTGCTGAGGGGAGCAGCAGGCGAGGCAGGAGAGGCCTGCTTGCCATGTGGGTTGCTCCGAGACTGGCGGGAATCGAACCGGCACTGCAGAGGCCACGGACAGCGTCACAGCGCTGCGCTCAACCTTCACAGCCTGCGCCCAGGGAGGCCCTGCCTCCCATAAGTTATAGTGTATTACATTTCCATTTTCATTTGTCTGAATATGTTTTTTTTAGTTCTTTGAGCCACTGATTGTTGAGTAATTTTTTGTGCAAATTCCACACATTTATGGATTTTCCAGCTTTGCTCCTGTCAATGACTTCAAATTTCATCCTATTGTTAGAAAAGAAAATTGACATCATTTCAGTCTTAAATTTGTTAAGCTTTGTTCAGTGACCTAACATGTGAGCCATCCTAGAGAATGTTTTATGTGCACTTGAATGGAATGTTTATTCTACTGCAGTTCAATAGCATATTCTGTGTCTGTTGAGACCATTTTGTCCTAAATGTAGTTTTCAGAGCTGACATTCTCATTGATTTTCACTCTGTACGATCTATCCGTTGCTGAATGTGAGATATTGAAATCCCCTAGTGTTATTGCATTGCTGTCTATCTCTGCCCTCAATCTGTTAATGTTTGGGTGCTATCTTGAGGAGCATGATATTGGGTGCATGTTTGCATGAAATTGTTATATCCTCTTGATGAATTGACTCTCTTACCTTTATGTAATGACTTTATGACAGTTTTTGACTTTGTCTTTTTCGTCTGATATAGGAACAATGACCCTTGCTCTTTTAGATTTTCGTTTGCATCTTTGTGGTTGGTTTGTTCCCTTCCAGTAAAGTCAGTGTGCACCTCACCAGCCTTTCTTTGTATTCAGGTTCCTGGAATGGAGCAGAGGTTGTGGCAGCATCCTCTGAACACAGTGTTCCTTTAGACCTGTCACAGGTCAGCACTCCCAAGTTACCTTCCTGTGGCCAGAAGACCCACCCCTGTCTGATGTGTGGTCTGATCTTGAAACATATTTTCCATTTGACTGAACACCAGGGAACACATCACAACCAGAAAGTGTTAAGGTGTGGGATACGCATGAAACAATTTTATTTCAGTGCAAACTTTGAACAGCACCAGCAGCAGCACATGAAAGAAAAACCCTTCACAGGGAGCGTGGACACAGCTTCAGTCGTGATGAGCTACAATTGTGATGTGTTAGGGAGGAGCAGTACCTTCAGGGTGGTTGAGAAGGACATTCAAGCCACCGCGGGACATCTCCAGCAACAGGACACTGACACCAGGGAGAAGCCAAACAAAATCACAGTATGTGGGGCCGATTCTCCAAGCTTAAAAAGTCACCCCAACTGGGAACAACCCACGCAAGTCTTTAATCCCAAACACACATTTAATGAGGACCAGAGTGTACACACTAGAAGACAATGTTTTGTCTGCTCTGAATGTGGGAAAAGATTCAAGTACAGATCCTCATTTGATAATCATCAGAGAGTCCACACTGATGACATTCTTCATGAGTGTGGTGACTGTGGAAAATCCTTTAGGGGAAGTTCAAACCTCAGTCGACACCGAAGAATTCATACTGGGGCAAGGCAGTGTAAGTGCAGCAAATGTGGAAAATCCTTTAGCCACAAATTTGTCTTCATTTGTCCTGAGAGCAGTCGCACTGGGGAGAATTCCTACACGTGCCGTCAGTGTTCCCAGTCTGTTGACCATCACTCCCTTTTTAAAAAGCACAGAATTCACAATGGAGAAATGAGTTATGAGTGCAATGAATGTGGGAAATCCTTTAGGAGAAAATCTGACTTCATTCGACACTGGAGGGTTCACACAGGAGAGAGGCCTTATGAATGTAGTGAGTGTGGGAAATGTTTTTCTTCTACCTCCACCCTCCGGTATCATCAGAGAATCCACACTGGAGAAAAGCCTTATAAATGTAATGACTGTGGGAAGACTTTCATCTCTAACTCTGGCCTCCGTTACCATCAGAGAGTTCACGCAGGAGAAAGGCCTTACGAGTGTAGTTACTGTGAAAAAACTTTTACCCAAATAAACCACCTCATTATACACAGAAGAGTTCACACAGGAGAAAGGCCTTATGAGTGCAGTGAGTGTAGGAAAACCTTTAGCCACAAATCTTATCTCTCTGAACACCAGCGAGTTCACACGGGAGAAAGGCCTTATGAATGTAGTGAGTGCGGGAAGGCTTTTACCTCTGGCTCTGCCCTCTGTTATCATCAGAGAGTTCACACGGGAGAAAAACCTTACGTGTGCAGTGATTGTGGGAAATCTTTTACCAATGGACCGATACTCATTCAACACCATGGACTTCACACGGGAGAAAGACCTTATGAGTGCAGTGCGTGTGGGAGGTCCTTTACCCAAAGGATTCACCTCGTTATTCACCAGAGGGTTCACACAGGAGAAAGACCTTACGAGTGCAGTGAGTGTGGGAAATCGTTTACCTCTCGTTCCACCCTCCATTATCACCAGAGAGTTCACACAGGGGAACGGCCTTACGACTGCAGTGAGTGTGGGAAGTCTTTTAGCAGGAAGTCCAACCTCTCCCGGCACCAGAGAGTTCACACCGGGGAAAGGGCGTAGGCGTGTGGGAAATGGGCGGCGTCCCTGTCCAGTGTAATATCGCCAGAGGAAACCGGTAGGTGCCGCTTGTCTGAGCCAAATCTCAATGTGCAGGTGATGTGTCGCTCTCTCTTACCTGCCTGGAGCTCGTTGTAGCTTTGTGTCACTGCCTTTTTCTGTGACTGCGGCTGTTTTATCTCTGCCACCTGGCAGACCTGTCACCCACATGTGCTCAGGCAACCCGACTCGTGTTACCTCATTTGTAGAGAAAATGAGGAGAACCCGGCTCCCTAAGAGGTCTGCACTGCCTTCTCTCTGCCTTGAGCGTGCGTCTACCTAGCTTGGTTCCAGAAAGCATCGTGTGGGTGAGCTGATGTTTTGCAGAGGAGAACAGCCCTTTGAAGGATGTGGTCTCCTGAGTGTCTGTGATGAATTTTTCAGCTTCCGAGTCACCGACTCAGAACTCCCATTCCAGTCTCACTTGGGCTGTACAGTGGCGGGGCCCTGTTTCAGTCCCTTTTATCTCTGGTGTCCGTTTATTGTGTTGGGTGATTTATTAACATTGGGGCTCAACAAGCCTGAAGGGGGGGCATCGTTGAGTGTCTCAGACATTCTGTACCTCATGGGACACAGAAATTGCCAAATTTGCGTTAATACTCGTGATCCCCTAGGAAAGACCTCGGGGCTTTCCAGGTGGCACATGAAGCCTGGATGCTGTGCGTTTTCGGGAGACTGAGCGCTGGCCCTGGAAGGGGGCAGTGTGACATCCCAAAGTGCATCTGCCAGCAGCGTGGATCCGATCCTCCTTCACAGGGTATGTCACGGCGACGTCAGCACTAATGGGGGATTTTCCCCAGGGCCCGCACTGACCGTGTGTCCTGATGCCCTTGCTTCCATGGGTGATGGTCAGTGGTTATAACCTTAGGGTCAGGGTCAGCAGAACTATTGCACAAACACTGCCTTACTAGAGATCTCGGGAGACTGGCCCACTGGCAGATCAGGCCTTTGCTAGAAGTTCGCTCAGCGATGTTCTCGGCGGCAGACGGAGGACCAGTTTGTGTAGAAATCTGAGCACCTCCAGGATGTTTGTCATGTGTAACTAAGTCACTGTTACTTGTTTTTGTCAGCCAAACTGTAATTAATATATGAATATATTTATACCTCATGTTACAAGAATTGGACTATAGGTTATTAAATCTTGGAGCATTTTTTAAAAGCTCTAAGGTATAACTTGCACGTGAGCCACTGTACACATTTAAGAGCTGCATTTGATAATTTTTGATGTATATGAAGCTGAAATCATCTGTCATACCAACCATATCCGTCACAGTAGATTTACATCTCATCCTTGTCCAACCTCTTCCTTCCCTTCTCAGCCTCTAGGGGATAATAACTTTGCATTTTCTAGATTTTATATGCTGGGTGTCAAAGTATTTTTTCTGCTTGCTTTTATGTTGCATAAATATCTGGAGGTTCGTTAGTGGCCTATGAGAAGCTCATCTTTGTTGTTGTTATATTTTGGCCGACAAATATTTTTATCTTTGAATACGCTGCTGTCCCACTGCTACCCAGGCGGTTGTTCATGGACACGGAGGGTGCTTCTGGTTTTTGGCTCTTTTTTTAATTAATTAATTAATTAGTACATACATACATACATACATACAAGCACTGGGTACAGTCAGAAGCGCGGGAGGGTGAGAGGATTCACCAGAGCCAGAGCGGGGAGCAGAGCAGGCAGAAGGACCGAAGGACACTGCTGAGGGGAGCAGCGGGCGGCAGGAGAGGTCTGCGTGTCATGTGGGATCCTCGCTGGCAGCCGGGAATCGAACCTGCGCTATAGAGGCTGCGGGCAGCTTCGCAGCCCAGAGTTCAACTGCTGCGCCACCAGAGGAGGCCCTTGTATATAATTCTTAATGTGAAGATAAGCTTCGGGTATCTTTTCGGAATGATTCAGACTGCGGTCCGAGTCCCGGGCGAGTGAATGCATAACAAGCTCGCGAGCGGCAGTCTCATCGTGATTGTGCCTGTTTTCGCTCTATCCGACCATGTAGGATCCTTCCTTCCCCCCACGCCCAGGTGAGTACTGGGCTGGCTGACCTTTGTGAAAGGTGACCTTTTTATTCAGTCTGTCGCGCCAGCTGACTGTTGTTTTTACTGCATTTCCCTAGGAATTCATCGTGAACATTTTTTAGATGGGCCGCCGCTTTCTGTCTGGGGTGAAATGCCCCCGTCTGCTGCGTCTGGTGGCTGTCCTGTTGTCCTGGCTTTAGCGAGAGGACAGTGAAACAGTGATGTATGCTGGAGCTGCCTTTGGTGACTCTGCTTACGGACTAATGGTGTGCAGTACGGGGAGAATACGTTCCGCTTGTCTGTGGTTTATGCCGTACCGTGGTGTATGTGTCCACGCGGTGGACACGGACGCTCAGGCTGAATCTGGGGGGGGCGCTCTCTGCGCCCAACGCCGTAAATGCTTTGGCTTTTTGCCTGTTTTCCTGCTCTGACACCGTGAGGGCTGGAGGACTCTTGGGGGCCTCAGGATGGTTGGGGGGCTTTTTTGAGTCTCACAGCTCAGCCACGAGTGACATGGGAGGGCAGTGATGGATGGCCCTCGCCCTGGGTCAGACGGCCTGGTTTGAGCCCCTGCGCCTGACTATCCCTGGGACTTACCAGCAGACGACCTGCCTGCGCCGGGCCTGGCTTTCCTTCTTAGTGGTGGCAGAAGGTGTGGCTCTGTCCCTGTGTTGTTGGAGGTCAAGAGCTGAGCTGTCCCTTGGCTCTGCCAGCTGCACCCACTGGCTTCCTGTGCCTGCTCAGCCCCAGCCAGGCCTCCTTGATCCCCCCAGTGTCCCTGAAACTGTCTGGCACCGGATGTTTTCAGGCAAGAAATACTGGGCCTCAGAACCTGCTGACCCCTCACAGTGACAGCTGGTTGAGGTCTCAGTGTGGGGTCCCGCACCGGGGAATCGGGGCCGTTGCCAAGACTTAAAGCCAGGCAGTGGTGGCATCAACCCGGCTCCTGTGGGCGTCAGTACAAAGAACAGATCGCCCCCAGTACTTAGTGCTGCTGGGACGCAGGCCTGCTCGGTGAGCATTTTCTCTGTCATAGCACCCTGGGGACTGGAAACCATTAGAATGTCTCAGGGAAAATCCCAAGTCAGAAAATCCAGCTTCCTTAAGTTCACTCAGTGGTTAAGTGTCAGACGCCAAAAACTAGATTCAAACCCTGCTCTGCGCTGGGTTGCGAAGCTGCCCGCAGCCTCTGCGGCGCCAGTTCGATCCCCGGCTGCTCCCCGGCCACCGGAGGAGGGTCCCACATGGCGCGCAGACCTCTCCTGCCGCCCGCTGCTCCCCTCAGCAGTGTCCTTCGGTCCTTCTGCCTGCTCTGCTCCCCGCTCTGGCTCTGGTGGATTCTCTCACCCTCCCGCGCTTCTGACTGTGCCCAGTGCTTGTATAAACAAAACAAACAAACAAACAAAATAAATAAATAAATAAAAACATGCCTCCATTAAAAAAAAAAACAAGGGGCCTCCCCGGTGGCGCAGCGGTTGAGCGCTGGGTTGCGAAGCTGCCCGCGGCCTCTGCGGCGCCGGTTCGATCCCCGGCTGCTCCCCGGCCACCGGAGGAGGGTCCCACATGGCGCGCAGACCTCTCCTGCCGCCCGCTGCTCCCCTCAGCGGTGTCCTTCGGTCCTTCTGCCTGCTCTGCTCCCCGCTCTGGCTCTGGTGAATTCTCTCGCCCTCCCGCACTTCTGACTGTACCCAGTGCATGTATAAACAAACAAAAAAAAAAAACAAAACATACAAATAAATAAATAAATAAACATGCCTCTATAAAAAAAAAAAAAAAAAAAAACCCTGCTCTGGCTGCAGAGCTGGGGACGTTTCTCCCTCAGGCCCTCTCCCGGGGTGGGCACAGTTAGGACCGGGTGGCTCCAACGCTGTGCTGTTGTCCTTAGTCCCAGCGCCCCCCAGAGCCTCCCTTAGCCATTTACCGAGGCCCCTGCCTCCTCAGCCCCGCGCTGAGCTCCCCCCTGCGCGGTTCAGTGACCGGGTCTCTCTACAGCTCCATAGGCACCTGTGTGCCATGCTCTGCCCTCCCCTCCCCAACCTGCTGGTCCACACCCTGCCTCAGGTTCCTTCTTCAGGTCTTGGGGACAGTCACCCTGACAGGTGAGACAGCTGACACAGCCCCGTTAGGTGCAGCACTCGGAAGCCTGGGCCCAGCAGCCAAGTGCCGAGTGAGACTCACAGCTTCTCCCCACAAGGACTGCATGGCCAGGTTCATCCTTGGAAAATAGGGTTAGACGGTGGGTACCTCATCGTGGCTGGAACCGGGCCAGTCTGTACGGGGCACCCAGTGGCCGATCACTCCCTGGCGTGTGCAAGTCTCAGGGAGTGATCACGGCTAGTGCTGACCTCGCTGTCACCATCATTCTCGCCAGTTTCGTTTAGCAACATGCCCGGATGTCACAGCTTCATGGTTCAACGGCACAGATGCCAGAGACTGACCAGCCTGCGCCCGAACTCGATACTTTTTAAAGTTGATGGAACCTTTAAAAGTAGAAAGCTTCTCACGGGATAACTCTTGTTCTTAAATTGTTACTGTGTTATGAATCCCCATGATAGCTTGTTAATTCCACATCATCTATAAATCATGTGTCTGCAAAGTATAAATTCTCTTTAGTTATGATAACTTCAATAGTGTTTCACACTACCAAAAATATCAGTGATACAATAGATTTTGGTCTTCCCATGTTTTCCAAAATTTGTTATTCATAATTATTTTTCCATCATAAGTAGTATATTCCCATTTCATATATATATTATGCAACTTAGTTCTTTGTTTCAGAGGTAGGTTTGTCATACAAGTTACACTACTTGTAACTAAATCACTTGCAATAATCTGCATTTTCTACAGCAGTTGCAAGTTCTTTGATGTTCTTAATTTGTTCTCCGTTATCTTCATAAAACATGTAAGTAGAATCAGTCGCCAGTCAGGTGACGAGTGAGTGATGCTTTGCCCACGTGCTCCATAGGCCAGGTTGTCTGAGTGCCTGGTCAGGCCCGCTGAAGTCCTGCTGTGTTCAGTGATTTTTTTCTAACACTTTAAAATAACAGGTGTTTTTTTTGGGGGGGAGGGCAGGGGGGCCTCCCTAGTGGCGCAAGGGGTTAAGCACAGCACTGTGAAGCTACCTGCAGGCTCTGCAGCACAAGTTCAATCTTCCAGCCAGGGAGCAACCCACATGGCGCAGCAGACCTCTCCTGTCTCGCCCGTTACTCCCCTCAGCAGTGGATTTCAGTCAGTCTTCCTGTTCTGATCCCGCTCTGTCTCTCTGCTGAATCCTCTCTCACCCACACACCCCACACCTCTGGCCTGTACCCCACATCTTCTATACATAAATACTTTTTTTTTAAAGATTTATTTATGCATACAAGAGCTGGGGTACAAGCCAGAGATGGGGGATGTGTGTGTATGAGAGGATTCACCAGAGACAGAATGGGGAGCAGAACAGGCAGACTGACTGAAATCCACTGCTGAGGGGAGCAGCGGGCGAGACAGGAGAGGAAGCTGCACCCTGTGGGTTGCTTCCTGGCTGGCTGGGGATTGAACTCGTGCTGCAGAGGCTGCAGATTGCTTTATAGTGCTGTGCTTAACCCCTTGCGCCACCAGGGAGGACCAAGAAATACATCTTTAAAAAAAATAAAAATAAAGTGACAGGTTTTTTAGGAAAAGGAGAAAGTCAAAGAGGAACCCGCAGGGTCACGAGGGCCGGAGAGCTGCCTGTGTTTAGTGGTTTTAAAACAGCGGGCGGGCCAAACTGTTACTAGGCGTTTTCGTTGAAGGCCCTTTGCTCCCACTGTACTTTGGTCCTTGGTGCCGGCTGTTGTTGAGGCTACTTGGGTGACGATTGCAGGCCAGACCCGTTAATTGACTCGCTGTTGGGACTTGGCTGTTTTCCACTTAAATTTATGGGACCTCAGCACTTGCTGCCCCCGAGACACACAGAAAAATTTTGTTTGTCTCCCGAAGCTCGGTGTGAACACCAGGGAGCGCAGATCCCTGAGGCCTCCTGCACTGCAGTTACTGGCCAAGTGTCACCCGGGCTGGGGGCCCTTTTCGGCCCCGGGACTACATTGCCCAGAAGGCGCTGCGCGGGCGACGGGCCGCTCGGCCAACCAGGGCTCAGCGAGGCGCTTCCGCTCCGGCCCGCGCGGGCCGGGACTTCCGGCGTCCTTCCGCTACCCGGCGCGATGGCGGCTTCCGGGTTCGCCCGGCTTCGCTGCGGTTCGGGACGGCGGGGGCGGCGGCGAGAAGGCGCGAGATAACGGGGCCCGCGGAGGCGGCCGACGGGTCGGGACGGCGCCGCGCCAAGCCCGGGCCCCGCGCCCCGCACGGCCCGATGGCGGCGGCCGCGCCGAGGGCCCCGGCTGAGGTACGGGTCCGGCCCGCTCGGGGGTCCGCACGGGCGGGGGCGTCCCGAGCCCGGAACGTTGAGGAAACGCGTCCGTCGTGGCGGCGGCCGGGGGCTGAGCGGGGCCCGGAGCCGCGGCGGAGGGGAGGGTGCGGCGCCGCCGTCGGGGCGGGCGCGGGTCGGGGAGCCCCTGTCCGGGTCTCGCGCCGGCGCGGGCCACCCCAGCAGACGGCGCCGCTGCAGGCGGGGCGGGAGGGCGTCCCCCGGGGTCCGCGCGCCCCCGCGGCGTCTGCGGCTCCGGGGCTTGCCCCTCCTCGCCGGGCCGCGCACGACCCGGTGGCCAGGCCCAGGCCCGAGTCCTCGCTGCGGGCCGCGGCGCTGGCCGGGCGGGCGGGGGGGCGTGGGGAGCCTGCCCGACGGGAGCCTGCCGCAGGTCTCGCCCTGGGCTCGGAGCGGAGGGCAGGGCGGGGACCAGGCCCAAGAGTCTGGCCTCTCCATGGAGGTAAAGGCGCGTTGGACACCGGGGAGGGCTTGGTCCTGCCTGGCTCGAACAGACCGCGACGGGGAGCTGAGTGGAGACCAGACTGTACACTGGGGGGCTGGGGGGAGCCCGGAGCTGGCAACTCCCTATGAGCCCAGTGATTTTAGATGGGATGGACCCGAGTTGTGGCCATAGGGGTGTTGCCGGTGAGGGGGGTGGGAGCAGTTGGGGTGGCCCCAGGGTTCTTGGCCCTAGTTGCTGAGGGGATGGACGTTCTGTCAGGTACAGTTTGAAAGTTGCCCGTAAGTTCATTGTCTTTGGGGATCGTCATTGGCGCAGCAGGGTTCAAAGCTGAGGTGTTGGAACGGAGGGAAGCCAGCGAGTTGTCAGCTTAACCCAAGGCCTGGGAGTCGGGGTGGGGAGGGGCGGGTTGTCTGGAGTCAGGGCGGGGCCGTGGATGACCTTTAGCGGGGAGAGGGCTGGCAGCAGTCCCGCTGTTTGGGGATGAGAAAGGCCGGGGTGCGTGGCAGGAGTGTTTCCCTTCCCGCACAGCACACCACACACACCCCCGTTTTGCTCTGGGCTGGACACAGTGCTGAGGGGCACCCTGTGGAGAGAGCAGGTCTGTGCAGCCCAGAGCTGTCTGCGCTCCCTGAGGTGGGGTGCCCGGGAAGAGGATGGGGGTGCAGCAGATGTGTGCTGGGTCGTGGCTACTCATGGTTCCATCTGTCCTCGGCGTGGCAGGCTGGCGTCACCTTCGAGGACGTGTTCCTGGACTTCTCCCGGGAGGAGTGGGGGCTCCTGGATGCGGCTCAGCGGCGCCTGTATCAGGACGTGATGCTGGAGACCTTGGCACTTGTGTCCTCACTGGGTAAGTCCCTTTCTCCACTTAGTGACCTGGGCGTGGCTCTCTTTGTCCCTTTCTTCCCTCCAGAACGTTCTGTCCTCCTCGCAGTGGACCATGGCACTGTGGTCGTCATCCTTGGCAGGGCCGGGTAGTTTGCGTTAGCCCTCTCTCTCCCCGTAGCCCCGACACCTGCTACGCTGCTCCCTCACAGGGTCGGATTTGAGGTCGGTGGCCTTGATGGAAGACTGGCAGGTGGCACCTCGCTCGGCCTTGCTCTGGCTGGGCGAGTGTCCAGCTCGTGGCACGTGCTTAGGGTGTGTCTGTGCCGGGAACTGTGAGCATCGTCCCGGTCACTACTTACCTGGCCTGCGCAATCCCTCCTCTATCTTCCTTTGTGGCGTTTCTCTCTCTCCCTCCCACCCGGTGGCCTTGGTGGAGCTCTGTCACTGTGCTGGCGTTAGAGTGTACAACGTGTGTGCACCGCCTGCAGCTTGAAACTCTTGCCACAACTTGCCACATCGTCACCTCTTGCAATTATCTTTTTTTAATTTGTTAAGAATATTTAAGATTCACTCTTTACTGATACCAGGTTTATAATACACCATCTCAAATTAAGTGTGTTACCATACTGTTCGCTAGATCCTTAGAACTTACTCATCTCATAACTGAAGCTGTGTGTCCTTCGGCCATGTGCCCGCCCCCCCGCCATTCTGCTGTTTTATGTGTTCCTTCGCCCCCCACCCCCGCTCTGCATATCAGAGAAACTTGGCAGCATATGTCTTCTCGGTCTTTATTTCACTTTGAATAATGCCCTGTAGATTCATCCATGTACTCCCAAGTGGCGGGTACGCCCTCTCTTGTCAGGCTCATAGCGTTTCATTCTGCATGTTGCGGCCGTCAGTGCACACGCCGCATTTCCTCTGTCCGTCTGTGGACGGACACTTAGAGTGTTTCCTTACCTTGCCTCTTGTGGAGAACGCTCGTGACTGGGGGGCTGCAGATATCTGCTCCACACTCAGATTTAATTTTTTGACTATCAAAAGATGGGTTGCCGGATCCCATGGTCATTGTATTTTGAATTTTTTGAGGAATAGTTTTTCATAATGGCTCGATTTACATTTCTACCAACCTTGTACCACGGTTTCTTTTTTTTCTCATGTGCTCACCAACACTTAAAGTCTCTTTTTTATAAAACTGCTTCATAGCTGAGAGTATGGCTCCCTCATTATCCTTTATGCCTCCATTTTCCTGGGATGAGGAAAGCATTTTTAGTTGGCTTGTTCTGTTTTAGTATGTCACGAGCTCCCTTTTTATTTGGACTATTACCCCCTATCGACGACACGGTTCCCGAAGCCTTCGTCCCGCACTGAAGCCGGCCTTTGCATTGTGTTGCTCTGCTGTGCAGAAGCTTTTGTTTTGGGGCAGTCTTGCTGGTTTGCTTTCGCTTTGGTGTTATATCCAAAAATGCGCTCCCACAATCATTTTGATGGGGCTTTTTATTCAAGAAATTTCATTTTTTAAGTCTCACACCTGTGTCATTCATCCATGGCAAGGTCACTCGTGTGGGTGGCGGTAGAGTGGCTCCACAGTCATTCTTGCACCTGGGGTTATTTTGCCATTGCCATGCGCTGAGGAGACTGTCCTTCCGCCACTTTGTTTCCAGTCCTTTGCCACGCGCAGTTGTCTGCGATTGTGTCTCTGGTCTCTGCTTTGTTCCGTAGGTTCCATGTGTGTTTTTGTGTCAGTCCCATATTGTTCTGATTCTTGCGGCCTAGTGGAAGTGTGACATCAGAAGGTGTGATGCCGCCAGCTTTGCTCTTACTCAAGATGGCTTGGGCTGTTGCAGGACGGCTGTGGTGCCATGCAATTGCAGAGTTTTCTCTTTTGTCCCTCCTGCTTTAATAAGTCTACTGTTGTGTTTTTCTTTTTGTACGTTATATTCTTAACCCCCTGAATTCACCCTTCCTTTTTATGATACCTGTCTTGAATCTATTCGTTTTGTTTCTGAGTTATTTTCCTGACTCGTGCGTGTTCTCTCTCTGTTCTGTCGTAGATTACCGAACTTCCTCAAAGCAGTTCTTTTGAATTGCTTTTCCCACAGCTCCCGGGTCTTCCTTTCTTTGTGGTTGGGTCCTGGAAGATCACTGTGTTCCTTTGTTGGTGGTGTTGCTTGTTTTTTCCTTTTTTCACACTGCTTTTAGCCTCTGTTGGTGTCTGTGTACTTGGTGGGGCAGTCACCTCTTCCAGTCTTTATGGGCCGGCTTTGTTGATGGAAAAGCTTCTCTTCCCCGTGGGGCCTGGTGTTGGTTGGGGATGTGGCTTCATCTCCACCGTAGGTCCAGCGGTATCCTCGTGTGGCTCGTCGCCTGAGGTCCGATCAGGGAACATTGTGGAGGCTCTCACGGCTGTGGCTGCGGGTACCTGCCGCTCTAGTGAGGGTGGGTGTCATTACTGGCAGAGGCTGAGGACGACATTCTGGTCCCTTTTTCTTCCATGGAAGAGGTTGTGACCTGGGGGTTCCTGTGTGGACCGGCTGGTGTTTGGTGTGTGGGTCCCGATGGAGCAGCCACAGAAATGAGGCCGGGGTGTGGATACTGGTGGCGTGAGAGCGTCTTAAGCTTCTAGGCACCGGACCGTCCGTGGTGGTGATGCTCTGGGTGTTTGTGGTACCGGTGTGCTCCGCAGCCGTGGAGCAGAAAAGAACCTGGAGGAAATAATTAGCCGGGAAGGAGGTTTAGATCCTGCGTTCCTCACTGCGTCATCGTTCCCTCCTCCTCCTGCTAAGGGCCCACCGCTCTGTGACCTTGGGGACCCAGTCATGCACCGCATTATTATTTCCTCAGCCAGAGCCAATCTCCCTGGTCTGGAAAAGCATCTCAGAAGCATTTGCTAGACGTGGCGGATGCACATTTGTGATGGTGTTTCCTGCTCCCTGTAAAGGCACCGTGGGCTTCACGAGGGTTTCTTTGTGCTCAGGTTGCTGCTGTGGCGCAGAGGCTGAGGAGCCACCCTTGGAGCAGAGCGTTTCTGCGGGCGAGTCCCGGCCCCGCACTCCCCAGGCAGCTCCTCCTTCCCAGAAGACCCACCCCTGTGAGATGTGTGGTCCGGTGTGGAGAGGCATTTCCCATTTGACTGCGGAGGGGGGAACACAACTGAGCTTGAAGCTGTTGAGGTGTGGCGCTTGTGCGGAACACTTTCCTTTCAGGGCCACCCTCCAAAAGCACCAGAGACGGCACATAGGAGAGAAACCCTCCAGAAGCCATGTGGACAGGCCCTTGCTCGTGAAGAGCTGTGGTAGCCACGAGTCGCAGGAGCCGGCTACCTGCAGGGAGGTTGGGAACAGCTTCTTAGCCTCCTCGGGACATGTGCAGCAACAGGCCACTCACACTGGGGGAAGGCCAAGCAAAATTTCTGAATGTGGGGTGACTGTCCAAAGAACAGATGGGCATTGCATCTGGGGGGAACACAAAAAAACCCTTGTTCCCCCCGACACACTTGCTCAGGACCGGGGTGCCCACGTGAGGCAACAGTATTTTGTGTGCCGCGAGTGTGGGGAAACATTCCGACATAAGTTCTCGTTTGTCACTCACCAGAGAGCGCACGCTGATGAAGCTGTGCTCGGGGGCTGTGACGGATCTTTTCAGCAGACCCCAACCCTTAGTCAGCACCGGAGAACCCGCTCAGGGAGGAGGCACCCCAAGTGCAGCCAATGTGGGAAGGCCTTTAACCCGAGATTTGTCTTCGTTAATCCCTGGAGAGGTCATGGCGGAGAGAATTACTTGTGCGGTGAATGTGCACGATCTGCCAGCCACAGGTCCACGCTGGTTCTCCAGTGGGCCGCTCTTGCCGGAGGCAGACGTTACGCGTGCACACGCTGTGGCAGGTCATTCGGACGAAAATGTTACTTGTTTCTACACTGGAGAATTCACGGTGGGAGAAGACCTTACGAATGCAATCGGTGTGGCAAGACTTTTGCCAATAGGTCAGTCCTTCCGCTGCACCAGAGAGTACACCGAGGAGAAAGGCCCTTTACGTGCAGCAAGTGTGGGAGATCGTTTCCCAGTAGCGCAGGGCTCCTCCTCCACCGGAGAGGCCACGCGGCCGCGAGGCCTTATGCGTGCAGCGAGTGCGGCAAGACCTTTCGCCGTCAGTCTTCCCTCACCCGACATGCGGTCGCGCACGCTGGGAAAAGGTCTTCCGAGTGCAGGGATTGTGGAGCAGCTTTAAAATCTGCCTCTCGTCTCCAGCGTCATGAAAGAATCACCGCCGGAGAAAGACCTCCCGCGCGCAGGGAATGTGAGAAACCCTTCAGCGGTCGTGCCCAGCTCAGTGGGCACCGCAGGGTCCGTGCTGCACAGAAGCGCGCGTGCGCGGACTGTGGGACGTGTCTTAGCCGCAACCCTTGCCTCTCCCACCAGAGGCTTCACTCTGGGGAAAGGACATACGAGTGCAGCGAGTGTGGGAAATCCTTCACCTGTGGCTCCGCGCTGCTGACGCATCAGAGAAGTCACACGGGAGACAGGCCTTACGAGTGCAGCGAGTGTGGGAAATGTTTCACCCAGAGCTCATCCCTCACTGAACACTGGCGCGTTCACACGGGAGAAAGGCCTTTCGAGTGCAGCGAGTGCGGGAAATCTTTCACCCAGAGATCGACACTCAATCGCCATAGGCGAGTTCACACCGGAGAAAGGCCCTATCAGTGCAGTGAGTGTGCAAAGTCCTTTACCCGGAGAAACGAACTCATCATACACCAGAGGGCTCACACGGGGGAAAGGCCTTATGAGTGCAGGGAGTGCGGGAAATCTTTCGCCTCTAGCTCCAAACTGCGTTATCACCAGAGAGTTCACACTGGAGAGAGGCCTTACGACTGCGGTGAATGCGGGAAGTCCTTTAAACGAGGCGGCCACCTTCTGATACACCAGCGAGTTCACACGGGGGAGAGACCGTACGAGTGCAGCGAGTGCGGGAAATCTTTCGCCTCCAGCTCCAAACTTCGTGATCACCAGAGAGTTCACACTGGAGAAAAGCCTTACGACTGTGGCGACTGTGGGAAATCTTTTAGGGACAAATCCCAGTTCAATAAACACCGGACCCGTCACACTAGAGATCGGCCTTATGATTGTACCGAATGTGGAAAACTATTTATCCATAAATACTCCCTTTCGCAACACCAGAAACTTCACACAGGAGAAATGTCTCACGAGTGTAGTGACTGCGGGAAATCTTTTACACGTAGCTCGGGCCTCCTGTATCATCGGAGAATTCACACGGGAGAAAGACCTTTCGGCTGCGGTGAATGTGGCAAATTCTTTAGGGACAGTTCTTCATTTTATAAACACCAAAGAGTTCACACAGGGGAAAGGCCTTACGGTTGCCCCCAGTGTGGGAAATCGTTCAGCGATAAGTCTTCCCTTTCTAAACACCAGAGACTTCACACTGGAGACAGGGCTTACAAGTGCAGTGAGTGTGGGAAATCTTTCACCTGTAGCTCTGGGCTCCATGCGCACCAGCGAGTTCACACAGGAGAAAGGCCTTTTGAGTGTGGTGAATGTGGGAAAACTTACACCCAGAGATCAACGTTCATTCGACACAAGAGAATTCACACCGGAGAAAGGCCTTACAAGTGTGGTGACTGTGGGAAGGCTTTTATCTGTAGCTCTGGGCTCCATTCTCATCAGAGAGTTCACACAGGAGAGAGGCCTTTTCAGTGCGGTGAGTGTGGGAAATCTTACACCCATAGATCAGCCCTCATTCGACACTGGCGAGTTCACACTGGAGAAAGGCCCTACAAGTGTAGTGAGTGTGGGAAAACTTTTAGCCAGACTTCCGCACTTCGTGTGCATGAGAAGTCCCACTAGAGAAGGTTCTTGGGGGCCGTCTTTCAGCCGTCACTCAGCACCCCGTCTGCATCAGAGGACTCAGATCTGGTCACGCGTGCAGGGAACGTGGGGAGTCTTATCGCTGAAGTTCTACGCTCCTGCAATGTCAGGGGCCTAGTAGCTCCCTCGCCAGCCGAGGATTCATGCCATCACCCTGGGAGGCGCCGTGGGGGCCCTGTACCTGATCTCCACGAAAGGGACGGATCTAGGTCCCCTGCTCCACCTGTCAGGGGTGGAGCTGAGCAGTGAGGAGCAGCTGGAAAAGGTGGGAGAAAGCACTTAGGCGGCAGGACGACCTGGAGGAGGCCCGTGGAGCAGAGACGTGAAGAAGCTACGCTGGCGTCCTGGCCTTGAACCTGCACCAGGGACTTGGGGAGCATGGGAGGACACCCTTGGAGGAGACAGCTGTGCGTGAGAGACCGTGGGAGGTAACAGTGGCGGCCTTTATCCGGGGTGTTTGCTCCTTTGCTTGCAGACTCACCTATCCCCTTCTGTCCCTTCCCTGCGGGTCGCACCAGAAGGTGCCTTAGACGGGCGGCAAGAGTTCAGGCCTCAGTGGCCTTGCGCTGGGCCAGCCCTATTGGGCTGGGCATTTGCCGGGTTGCGGGGTAGGGGGGGCGCTCTGGGTGCTTCCTTGGAAACCACTGTGACTGTCCCTCCCCTTCTCTGCGTTGCACACTCACTGTTAAAGTTCTGTTCATTAAAGAGCTTCTGCACCGAGAGCGTTTGTCTTCATGTGGCAGATGCTGAACCCATTTAGAGCAGGTGGGCTTGGGGGCCCTGGGGCCCCCTCATTCTGCCCCCTGACAGCACGGCTAGGGCCGGGGTCTCCTGGGACCAGACAGCACTCGGCTCCGGGCCGGGCCGGATGGGAAGGGGCTGGCAGGGCCACAGCGCTGCCCAGACCACAGGGGCCACCACCTAGGCCCGGTCAACACCTGCCCAAGCCCGGGGCCAGGAAGGGGGACGGCCCTTTACAGGCCTGGCAGGGCCCTGCACTTCCCCTGCAGCCAGGCCTCCCCTGCAGGAGCTGCTGACCCAGCAGCACTGAGGACACCTGCCAAACCTGAGAGGCTTCCAGGAGCCTGACTGGCTGAGTGAAGAAGAGCCTGTCAACGGCCCGCTCACCCCTGTGGTTCCTGTGCTTCCTGGAGGACACACACACACACACATACACCCAGTCATTCACACACACACACACACACCAGCCTCTTACAGGGGCCGCGCGCAGCTGTCAGTGCTGTGCCCCCAGCCCCGAGGGAGCCGGGTGACACGGGGTGTCAGCCTGTGAAGCCCAGAAGCCCTCCGACGCTCTCAGGGCCGGCAGATCTGAACCTGGGTGTCCTCCCAGCACGGCTCAGCCCCGATGGATGCTGTTTAGCAGTCCCGTGGCATGGCTTACATGTAGATATCTTTGTCTATTTCGCTGTTAATTTTCAAAATGAGAAAGTCAAAAGTGCACTTTCTTTTCACAGCCCTTTCTGGTTTGCCACGCAGAGCGGCCGCGGTGCCCACCTGTGACTGCGGGCTCCTCCCTGGCTCCTCCCTGCGTGCTCCTTTCCCTAATAAATCCGACCTTTTAAACCAAAAAAACAAACAAAACAAACCACAGTGGAGCCCGGGAGGGCCTGAGAATGCCGGGGACCCGAAGGGGCCCTGCTGGGGCCCTGACCTGCAGGGGCCTCGCCCTCCCTTCCCAGCTCCTTCAGGGCAGGGCAGTGTCTGGGGCTGATGCCAGTTACTGGGACCATCACCGTCTCATGTTAAAGTGGAGACAGCCCCGGGCATGGACCGTGGGTATCTACCCCGAGTGAAAGCAGTTCCGTCGCTCCAGCTAGGAAACGGCTCCCGAGAAACCACTTGATTTCTGGCGAGGAACAAGTAAAAAATCCCCATAATTTCTCTTTCACACTTAGAAAGTTGGATTTTCCTATTTTCCGGTTAAGTCATAGGGATGCCCAACTCTGGGAGCTGAGGCCTGTGACCCTAAAGGAGCCGTAGGGACAGCGCCCTCTGCTGGTCCCGGCCTGAGGTGCAGTAGCGGGCCGGCCCCCTGGCCCTACCCCTGCCCACTTCACACCAGCCGCTGGGCAAACAGTGACTCCAGAGAATCACAGAAGCCAAGACTCACCCAGAAGACAGAGCTCTAAGTAGAGTTAAGTTTCAACAGCCTCGGGCCTCCCTGGTGGCGCGAGGGGTGAAGCGTCAGCACAATGAAGCTATCACCAGCCTCCGCGGCACGAGTTCAGTCCCCAGCCAGGGAGCTGCCCACAGGGCGCAGCAGACCCCTCCTGTCTCCCCGCTGCTCCCCTCAGCGGTGGATTTCAGTGGATCTGCCTGTTCTGCTCCCCACCCTGTGGGGAATCCTCTCACTCCCTGCACTTCTGGCCTGTGCCCCAGCTCTTGTGCGCATGAATAAATAAATCTTTAAAACAGTAGTTTCAGCAGCCTCTTGTTTTGCTCAATACACATAGAACCTGGGCGCTGCAGGCCCGTGCAGTCGGGCGGGCAGGAGCGCTGCCCTTTACCCCTGTAACGCTGCAGAAATCCCTGAGGCCAGAGAGTGTGGGCAGCGCTGCACTGCTCGGAAGGGGGCCGCTCTCCCAGAGCTGACTGGCTGCTCGGGTCCAGCCCTCCCTCCAGGTTCGCCAATAAATTCGATTTTGCTTTCCGCAGCTTTTAGTCAACAGGAGGGAGAACTACTTTGTCACATGGATTTATTTTATCCCATGCCCCGTGTTCTCCAGCCTGCTCTTGTGCAGAGCTCTTCAGGATTAAGTCAAATTCATCTCCCCAGTTGCCCGTCACCCCGGCCACTGTTTCCTCCAGGCCAGGCCAGAAACGCCTGCGTCTTCCTGGCTGTGGCCACGGCCCCCTAGGGGCTGTACACGGCGTTGTCCAGCGTGTCCTTGCTGGCTGTCTTCACCTCTTTCTTTTTCTTGTTTTCTATATATTTTTTCCTTTTCGATCTGATAACTAAAATGTGGACGTAATGTTACTGAGAATCTAATAAATGACGAGAAATGGAGGAAAAAATGGGGATAGGTGGAGAAATAAAGGTGCTAACTAGTTCTCGGGGCATAATGGATGTTATTTATCCGAGAAGGATGATAAAATCTGAATTTTAAAATTACCCACTGCCTGTACTCAAGCGTTATAAAGCCCCATTAACAAAAAAAAAAATGTAGAAAATAGAAAAGTTATAAACCAACATAATGGAAAGATAACGGAAAAGTATCTTCTGTAGGGTGTGATGAGGGCCATCTCCCTCCATGAGGGTAAACTCTTCCGCCTCTTGCTGATCGTCCATGTCTGCTGCTCCGAGAGGAGACAGACTTCCACTGAATCAAACACACTACATATTTGTGCTTTAGAATTTTGGGGGTGGGTATGTGTGAATCTCAGAACTTCCATAAAATCGAGTTTATAGGCACATCTATGTCTCCTCAAGGACTTGCAGGCCGGGCCAGTTTCTGTCAGACAGGGCTTTGGACCTGGGGACCATGACCTCTGTTCTACAGGCCTGGGTCCCAATTCCAAGTTAGATTGAGGCAGTCAGGAGAGGGGGGGCATCTGCCTGTCTGTTAGGTATGCTTATGGGAAATGGGAAAACGTATGTTGATTGAACTTTGTTTTCACTCCTTGAAATTTCCCTGCAAAAGGAAGCGAGCAGTCACACGGAATTTACCACTCGGTGTGATTTCATAAGAACGTACATTTCTAGGCCCCCTGGTGGCGCAGGGGTTAAGTCTCAGTGCTGTGAAGCTATTGGCAGCCACTGTGGCCTGAGTTCAATCCCCGGTCAGGGAGCTGACCCGCAGGGCACAGCAGACCTCTCCTGTCTCCCCGCTGCTCCTCTCGGCAGTGGATTTCAGAGGATCTGCCTGTTCTGCTCCCCGCTCTGTCTCCGGGAAATCCTCTCACCCCCTCAGTAAATCCTGTCAGTACCTCTGGCCTGTACCCCAGACCTTGTGTGCATTAAAAAAAATTTTTTTTAAATGTGCATGTATGTAGGTATGGCTGAAAACATTCATCTTCGTACTCCAAAGTCCATCAACTCCCACTTAGCTTTGCCTTTGAAAAGGGAACAAGCGAGTTCAACTGTAATGCTGTACACACCTAAAGCTTATGTAAGGTTATAAACTGTTAATTTAAGTAACATTTTTAATACACAGACAGAAAACCATGATTGCCAGCTCAGCTTTCTTGTGAGTTTGGATCTAACAAGAGAAACTCGTCCGGCCCTTACCTGAATGGATGAAATTTTCCAGTTCCTTCTCGTTCTCTGGCAGCAGGTAGGTGGACTCGTCCTGGCTGCCGTCCTCCGAGTAATCCTCTTCGTCCTCCAGTAGCGGGATCCTGATGTTCTTATAAAGCAGGGCCAGTTGTTGTCTCTCCTCATCTTGTGCCAGTCGGCTGGGGGATGACAGAGATGCGTTTCGGAGTGCACTTTCCACCCTAAGTCACTGTTCGTCGTGTGACTTGCTAACTAAAAAGGAGTCACCAGTACGTGGTGGGGGTGGGGGCAAGGGAGGCACGAACAGACTCCTAAGCCAGAGTCGTCACAGATCCCAGAGTATGCGGAGGGCAGAAAACGCACGAGGGAGGATGCCCTCAGTGGATCAGCGCCAGGGCCAGGGCCGGGGCGGCTGAGGCACCCACGTGAAGTATAAAACTTGAGGGATCGACCAAAAACACCATACCCAATACAAAAAATAACTTTGTTCCTTTTAAAGATTTATTTTTATTATTTATGCACATGAGAACTGGAGTGCAGGCCAGAGGTGTGGGGGTGAGAGGACTCACCAGAGAGAGTGGGGAGCAGAACAGGCAGACTGAAATCTACTGCTGAGGGGAGCAGCGGGGAGACAGGAGAGGTCTGCTGCGCCCTGTGGGTCACTCCCTGGCTGGGGATCGAACTCAGGCTGCAGTGGCTGGTGATAGCTTGATAGTGCTGAGACTTAACCCCTTGTGCCACCAGGGTGTCCCATGGACATAACAATATCTAACGAAAATGAGAGCCATCACTTGGGCCCCTGGTCAGGTTCGCAGTGTTAGGTTCACTCGAGAACACCATGTGGGGAGATGCCAGCGCCTGACAACCGTGTCTGTCTGAGAAGCTTAAAAGTTAGTATTTACCTCACTACATGTCATACTTTCTGGCATTTCCCCTTCGACTCAGTTATATTCTCTACTGTTTTGTTGTTTTTTCATTCTGTCAGCACCCGACGTGAGTATAGTCCATGTTCTAAAAAGTGCTGGTCTGGGGCCTCCCTGGGGGCGCAGGGGTTAAGTCTCAGCACTAGGAAGCCGTCCTCAGCCTGTGCAGCACGAGTTTGCGCCCCAGCCAGGGAGCGACCCACAGGGCGCAGCAGACCTCTCCTGTCTCCCCGCTGCTCCCCTCAGCAGTGGATCTCAGTGGATCCACCTGTTTTGTTCCCCGCTCTGTCTCTGGGGAGTCCCCTCACACCCCACACACCTGGCCTGTACCCCAGTTTTTGTGTGCATAAATAAATCTTTAAAAAAAATTTAAAAGCACTGGTCTGAAAGTTCATGAGCAAAATAATTTAGTGACTGGAAGGATCGTCCATCCCACCGCCGAGCGAGACCCCAGCTGATGTTGTGTCTGCTCCGGCAGGTAAGTCGCCGGGGTCACTTACTATATCACAATGGCAATGGTGAGCCCGGCTGCCAGGGCGATGCTGAAGACCACACAGGCGACGAGGATCACTTTCACCAGAGCAGGTCTGTGCGGAATCAGTTCTAAAAAGGGAAAGGAAAGGAGTCAAGCTCTTTAGCTGCAGTGCTCCATGAATGTCCTCCATCATTTACCCCACGGGGAAATGGGGCGGGGCTCAGGACCACCCTGAAAAGGGCACATTCTTAATTCAGGAAACGAGGCCCCACCACCAGGTGGTTCCAGTCCCCCCGCCACTTGTCTGCCTCCTGTCCTGGGCCGCAGCCCCTTCCAGACCGCAGGGCCTGCCGTCTGCCCGGCTGCAGGACAGCGACCGCCGCACACGCCCTCGCGCCCTGGCGGCCCAGGAGTGTGGCCCGTCCACGAGAGGATGCACAGGCCGACGCAGAGATGGTCCACGCGCCTTCAATCCAGGAGTCCCTGTGCAGGCCCCTCCTTCGCCCCATGAAAACGTTGCTCTTACGGAGGGCGGACTGAGGTGGAATGTCCTTCCTGTTAGCTGAAATCAAGAAAACAAATAATAAAGTGGTGTTTGTGAAAGTGGACCAGGAGCGCCTGCCAGAGGGGAAGGGGAGCTGGGGCGAGAGGAAGGCAGGCCCAGCGGCCCGTGGCGGCAAGCCCATGGGGTGGGGGTGACACTTACTACACGGTGGTCTAAGTCAGCGTGACCTCGATGAAAAAAATGCAATTAAAAATAAGAACGGGGGGGGGGGCGGGGAAAGGAAGGATTAGTGTCAAAATAAGGGGGGGTGCAATTGTATGGGGACGGTAACCAAAATGAAAATGCAGACATTGTGCAAAGATGAAAAAAGATGTAAGAATTATATACAATAAAATATTTAAATTAAAAAAAAAAAAAAAAGAACAGAAGAGCACACTGCACACAGAATGCAGCCGCTCCCCCGTCTGGACGTGGCCTCCCTCGTTTCTGCCCCTTCGCTGGCACAGGATGGGAAGGTCGGAACTGAGCTGAAAAGGCCGCAAGGGTCACACCTTCTGGGGTCAGCCTGGCTCCGTGCGAGGGAGCGGCAAGTGGCTAAGGGTGGGGTCGATGTGGCCTCTGCGATTCCTTCTGCTTTTCTGTTCCCAAATTTTCATAATGAAATACCGAGAAAAGGGTGGTGGGTTACAGTCTCCACGCAAGAGCACGTAGCCCGGCTCGGGGCTCGCGGCAGGAAGGCCCCTGGGAGGCCAGGACCAAGGCCGGGCAGCGCTGCGGCTGCAGCTTCACTTAAAGGCTCAGGAGAGACAGGCCCGGAGGGCCTGGAGGGCCAGGAAGGTGTCCGCAGCCTCTGCAGCACGTTCCTTCCCCGGCCAGGGAGCGACCCACAGGGGCAGCAGACTCTCCTGTCGCCCCGCTGCTCCCCTCAGCAGTCGATCTGCCTGTGCTGCTCCCCGCTCTGTCTCTGGCGAACCCTCTCGCCCCCGCCCCTCTGGCCTGCACCCGGCTCTTGTGTGCATCGATAAATACAGCTTTAAAAAAAAGAGGGGCCCGGAGCCAGAAGGGCCTGGAAGCTGCCTGAGGCACTTGGCCATGGTGTGGGGAGCAGAGGGGCAGCTCTTGCCTGGTGGGGAGGGGGTCTCGCTTGTCCGGGGTGGGGGGGACGCTGGCGTGTTTGGTGTCAGCACGAATGTCCTTCGCAGCCGACGTGCGGAGGGAGAGGGGAGGCCCGGGCCGCGGGCGGGAGGCGTGTGGGCGCCAGGGGGACGCGCCGCGGGAGCGAGGAGGCTTCCTGGACGCGCGGCTGCGGCGCCTGTGGGCCCAGGTCTGCTGTCCCGGGAGCTCTGCCCCGGGGCCGAACCCGACACGCGGCCTCCCGGGCTGGCCCCGCTCCAGCGCCGCAGCCCCGGCCGGCCCTCCCCGCGCGAGCCGGGAGCCCGCAGCCCGCTCGCCCTTGCAGCCCGGGCACCCTGGGGCGTCTGCAGCCCGCTCGCCCCTGCAGCCCGGGCACCCTGGGGCGTCTGCGAGCCCCGACCTGGCTGCCCGCGGAGCCGTCGCCTCGCAGGCCGCGCCCCTCCCTCCCCCGGCGGCCGCCCGGTCAGCGTGGAGATGGGGCCGGGGGGACTCCACGACTTCCATGGGGGCGAGGCCCGGGTCGTGGGGGCCGCTGGAGGCCCCGGATCTGACCCGACCTGCCGACCCAGGCGTGAGCCCGCCCAGGCCCGCGGCCCCCAGCGCCGGCGCAGGGGACTTGCCTTGTAGACGCAGGAACGAGGGGGGCTCGAGGGGGCTGGGCCGGTCGGGCCCTCCGTGAGGGCTTTGCCCACAAAGCCGCCCAGCGGGGAGACTGGCAGCCTGGGCACCCCTGCCCCGGGCACGGCCTGGCCAGGCCCAGGACTTACTGGCTGCCGCTGGGGGCGCCGTGGCCTCGCCGGGGCTGGAGGTGACGGAAGGAGGGAGCAGGAGAGGCTTCGGGTGGACCCAAGAATCCGTCCCGCCGGGCCTGCTGGCGCACCCCGGGCCTGGCCACGCGGGCCTGTCACAGCCATCCTTCCCTCCCGCAGAGAGGCCTCTCAGGGTCCCGGGTGGGCCGCTGGGGGGACCTCGCAGCCCAGCCGGGCGTCCGTCGTCTCCGTCTCTGTGGTGCCAGGGCCGCCTCCCTCGGGGCTCAGGACGCGCAGCACAGGAGACACAGCGCGAGGCAGCCACGCAGCACAGCGCCCGGGACGGGCCGCGCCTGCCGGCCGTGCTGCTTTATGTCCTGCTCCTGAGAAACAGGAGGAAAGCGCCTTGGGGGGGTGGATCTGGGAGCCCCGACTGCCCGGCAGGACAACCCACCTCTGGGTCCTGAGAAAGTCTTTTCATTCCAAAGAATCCAGGTCTCCTCAGAGCGGCGCAGGGCTTGGGTGGTGGTCTCCTCGGAGGTGAGCTGGGCCTGGGTGGTGGTCTCCTCGGAGGTGAGCTGGGCCTCAGTGGGGGTGTTACTGGAGGTGAGCTGGGCCCAGGTGGTGGTCTCCGTGGAGGTGAGCTGGGCCCGGGTGGTGGTTGTCTCCGTGGAAGTGAGCTGGGCCTTGGTGGTGGTTGTCTCCCTGGAGCGGCGCTGGGCCTGGGTTGCGTTGATGGGTGACAGTGGCTGCTTGTGGCCTTAAAAGGAAACGGGGGGCAGTGAGAAGTAACCACCCCATTTTACTCCCCCAAGCAAGTAGACACTCACGGTTGACGCCCCCACGAAGCTCTGCCTGTGGTCTGCACTCACCTGCTATGGGCAAGCAGAGGCAGAGGGGAAGCTCTGTCAGCAGCAAGAGCAAGAGGGGCAGTGCGGGGGTGGCCTGGTCCCTCGCAGGACCACGGGCAGCCACCATGGGGCCAAAAGGGAACAGTCAGCCCCCCGTGGCACCAGGTTGCTGAGGAACCAAGGAGCTCTGCTCCTGACAGAATGTTGGGGTCCTGACTTGGGGCCCCAGTATGAGGTCACTGGCCTCCAGAAATTCTGCCCCGGAATGCTTGACTGGACTGTCCCATGCCCCATGGGCACTGCTGTCTTTGGGGCTGGCTCGGGGGACTGACCTCCCCATGGTCACTACGGTCTTGCCCGGTCATGTTCATAGGGTAATGAACACCTGAGTCTTGACACAGTTCTTCTATTCCGTGCACCAGCCCAGCCACAGGAGTCCTTGCAAGCCAAGACCCCACTGTGAAAAAATAAAATAAGGGAAGTCTTAAAAAAGGGAAAACTACACAAATAGACAAAACAGAACACCACTGTGGGTTCGTGATGCCTGCACATGTGAGGCGTATCAGGTTAAGGTAGGAGGATTAGGGCAAGATTTTTTTTTTTTTAATGCATGAGATTTTTTAAAAAATATTTATTTTTATTTATACAAGAGCTGGGGTACAGGCCAGAAGTGCGGGAGGGTGAGAGGATTCACCAGAGACAGAGTAGTGAACAGAACAGGCAGACTGACCGAAATCCACTGCTGAGGGGAGCAGCGGGGGGACAGGAGAGGTCTGCTGCGCCATGTGGGTTTCTCCCTGGCCAGCCGGGAATCGAACCAGCACTGCACAGGCTGCAGACAGCTTCACAGTGCTGCGCTCAACCCGCTGCGCCACTGGGGAGGCCCTAGGGCAAGAATGAAACCTCTGAAATAGCGACAGCAAAGCAGGAGCCTAGATGGAGGCTCGAATGGCTGCCCACTGCCTGGGCTCTGAGACCAGAGAGCCGACAAAAAGGCCCGAAAGGGGCCTCCCTGGTGGCACAAGGGGTTAAGATGCAACCTATGAAGCATCCGTAGCCACCGCAGCCTGAGTTCCATCCCCAGCCGGGGAGCTGCCCACAGGGCGCAGCAGACCTCTCCTGTCTCCCCGCTGCTCGCCTCAGCAGTGGATTTCAGTAGATCTGCATGTTCTGCTCCCCGTTCTGTCTCTGGTGAATCCTCTCACCGTGGCCCCCCCATCTCTGGCCTGTACCCCAGTTCTTGTATGCATAAATAAATCTTTAAAAAAAAAAAAAGGCCCAAAAAGCCAAAAACCAAAACCTAGGACTGTAGCAGTACAATAGCCACACAACAGGAGGCCTATGGGCTAAAGCCTAACAAAGGACAGGGCCAGATCAGAGCACAATTCACTGTCTGTGGGTCTCACCAGTGCACAGTTGCGAGACTGGGGCCTCCAGGAACAACCACACAGGGTTTATTTTACAAATAGGAGACAAACAGCTCGCTGTGGCCACACATGGCAGTTGCCTGACCCAGACAGAATCAGTGATGGTCATGACCGGTCACCAGGACTCTGGACAGCCTGGCCAGTGTGATGGTCACTACTGGCCGCTCAGACGCCCAGTGTCACAGCCTTTTGTGAGTTGTTGGGCGATGCCAGCAACAAATAGGTCTCTGAGATGCGAAGCCCGGGGCCTCTGGGGTTCCCTTCAGGCAACATCAGAGGCAGGACCGAGAGGCCGGGTCCGTGACAGAGCCCCGGCTTCTCCTCCTTGGGGGGTGGGGGGAAGGGGAGGGCATGGCGGCTGCTGGATGCTGTTTTTCCTCTTTTCTCAAAGGCCAGGAGCAGAGTCTTCCCCTTTCCCTCCGGAGAACAGAACCGTTTTTGTTTTCTAAATATTTATGTACACATACAAGAACCAGGGTGCAGGCCAGAGTTGGGGGGGCGGGTGAGAGGACTCACCAGAGACAGAGTGGGGGGCAGAACAGGCAGGCTGAGGAAACCCACGGCTGAGGGGAGCAGCGGGGAGACACGAGAGGTCTGCTGCGGCCTATGGCCATCTCCGCTGGCGTCCAGGATGGAACCCGCGCTCAGGAGCCGCAGGCAGCGTCACGGCGCGCTCCACCCGGAACGCCTGGAGCCCCCTGACCCGGGGCGTCATTGCTCCTCTAAAGCGCCGCTCTCAGTTCCCGCCCACCCTGGCTTATATCTGCTTTCAGGGTGCCCCACCCGCAAGTCTGATTGGACCATTTTTCAATCCTATAGCTAATTGGACTATTTTGAACCAATCAGCTCATCGCTCACACCCGATTGGTCCATTCCCTGATTCAGGAATTGCCAGTTAAATAAAAGGGCTCTGAGGCGCGAAGGCCGCAACCGACTAGTGGTGCAGCCCAAGGGAAAGACTGTTTCTGCGCCTGCCGGCTCCCGCGGCCGAGGCAGCCGGGTTCAGGTAACTCTTCCACCAGACTCCCCCAAATCCAGAGGTGCCTGACCTGCCCTCTTGGTTCACTCCAACAAAGTGGGGTCCCTAGTTGCAAATGGGGTTCCAAACCCTTGGGAATGCCTAACAGGACTCTTCCTAGTTGTCACCATCATTAAAGTTTGCCTTTGGTGCTTGGTCAGCCACCCTAGCTGCCGCTAACAGCCTCGTGTCACCCCTCGTGGTCAGGACCATCAAAGGTCCAGCACTGCAAGGCCGAGCGGGCTGTGACTGTTCACATATAACATACACGCTGCAGGTGTACGAAATAACGATCCATTAGTTGTATATATTGAATGATGATCACAATCAGCCTATTTAACATATCATCTTTTGATGAGAACTATTTTTTTCTGCACTGGGCATCTTTGTTTTGCTCCTGATCTTCGAGGAGAAGTTTTCGGGGTTTTGTCAGTATTGTATTGGCTACGGGTGTGTGATAGTTGGCTTCATTATGTGAGGTCATTTCCGCCTGTTCCTCTTGTGAGTGTACCTGGACTGACCAGCACCCAGCAGAACACAGAAGTGTTCATCGCACCATTTACTGTAACGAAAAGTTTGTGGAGCCAATAGTGTCTACAACTGGTGAGTGATGAGCAAAAGCTGTGGTGCATCCGTATTAGAGAATGTTATTCATGCCTGCAGGGGGCCAAGCCTGATTTGCTATCACACCAGTGAGCCAGGAAGACATTATGCTACGTGAAAGAAGACAGAAGCCAAAACCCACAAAACCTTCCATTTATATGAATGTCCAAACCAGGCAAATTCACAGATCACTGGTTGCCAAGACCTGGGGGTGGGGGAGGGAGGGAGGGAGGGAGGGCGGGGGGGAGGGTGTAACTGCTAGAGGGGGCTTGTGGAGTGAAATATCCCGGATGTAGAGCAGGGCGACTGATGCATGAATTTATGAACATACTGAAACTTCGGAAAGGCTAATGCCATGCTCTGCGGTATCTTACCAAAGCGGCTGTCTCTAAAGTACGTCACTTTTAGAGTAGCGTCAGGTTTATAGCACCATATACCCTCTGCCTGCCCCCCACAAATGCACAGCCTCCTCCACTATCAACACCCCACCGCAGACAGGCGTTTGTTACGACTGAGGAACCTGCACGGAGGCAGCATAACCAGATCCACTGCGCTGCACCCATCCACCCCCTGCCTCCCGAGCGGCAAACACCCATCTTTCTACTGGGCCTCAGTCTCCCCGTTTCCAGGATGCCGCGGGGCAGGACTCAAGAGTACTGTGAGGATCGACACACAGGAACCCCATTTAAACGAGGTCGGGAGGCGGAACAGTTCCCCCGCAAGTGCGCACGTGCTGAGGGGAGGAAGAAGGGGGTCCTCCGGCACAGGCGCGCCCCCAAACAGTGGGGGAGGGCCGGCTCTGGCGCTCGGGACACGTGTGTCTGGACAACAGTCCTTTCTCAAGTGCCGCTTCTCGGGGCGGATTGCATGAAGCCGTTCCGTGGGTGAAAGAACCGGCTGTTTCTGTTCGTCGAGGCGGGCAATGAGCAGGTGCTGCGGGCGACGCGGGGCGGCGCGCGGGGCTCCTTACTGGGCGTTTCCTCCACGCTCCGACTAACGCCCTTCCGGGCCGACGCGCCCCGCAGCAGCCGCTACGGAACGGGAGGGGCGTGTGCGCCGTCGGGCCCGGACCGTCCGCCCGTCTTCCTCCTCCCCGGCGACGCAAAGGTGAGTCCCCGGGGTATGCCGCGGGCCCAGCGCCTCTAACGCCCTCCCACGACATTAAACTTTCTGCGTTTGCAAAACGAGGCCCCGCCGCTGACGAGGCCCACCCACCGCCGCGGCGATCACCCGCAAACGCCCGACTCCCAGAGACGCCCCTCGGGGCGGGACTGGCCTCCGGCCGCGCCGGGCGTTGTAGTCTCGGCTCCGGATGCCTCGCGGCCTCGCCGAGCCAGACCGCAGCCGCTGGACTACAACTCCCAGGATGCCGCGCGACTGTCCCGTGCCACCACGTTCCCCAGGGAAGCGCGCGCTCCCGGCCGCCCCGCGCGCCATTGGTCCGAGGTGCGCCGCGGTGCCTTCTGGGCGCTGTAGTCCGAGCTGCAGGCGCTCCGCGGCCGCGTGGGGGCGGGGCCGGGCCGGAGCGCTGCGACTCCCCGCGGGCTGCGCCGCCCCGTTTCCTAGGTAACAAGTTGGACGCCGTCGGGACGGGGGCGGCGGGTCCCTCGGGCGCCGGCTGGACGGGCGAGGGCGGCGGAACTGACGGGGGAACTCGCGAGGAGGGGCAGGGCGAGGAGGGGCGGGAGGACGCGCGCCGCCGGGTCGCGTCTCCCAGGGGAGCTACGGGCTGAGCATCCGGCCCTGAGGGGCCGCGTCGACGGCCGGGAGGGCGGGGCCGCGGGGAGCAGCCCCGGACGCACTTGGGGACGGGGGTCGCTCTCCCCGCCAGACACCACGCGGGCCCCCGCGCGACTGTGAGGGGCTCGGGGGCCAAGACCCCGAGAACCGGTCGGACGGCCGCGCGCGGTCAGCGTCAGGTGGGCCTGGGGTCCTGGCGGGAAGGCGGCGGGGGCGCGGCCGGGCCAGAAGGGGGCCCGTCTGTGGCTCTGCCAGGGTCTGGGGGACCAGGCCACGCCCCCGGCCACCAGCCCTGCGGGAAGCCAGTGACTTGGGGGGTGACGCCGCATCAGCCCTGGGGGTGGGGGGGCCTCCCGCAGCGCCTCAGGAGCCACATGACATTGGGCTTTTACCAGATACCCTGGAGACCACCCGGGAAGGCCCCGGCCCCCACAGCCCTCCCTGAGGGAATCGGGGAGTCTGTGAGCTGGAGGGGCGCCTGGTGCTCCCCCTTCCCCGTGAGCACGCGCAGGCGGACAGGCCAGCGCTCCCACAGAGTCCTCCCCGCAAGCTGCTGGCCACCGAGCGCAAGGTGGGGCCCACAGGCGGGGCTGCCGCCATCGCCCCTCGCGGGCACCCCATCCCTTCAGCGAGGCCTCAGACGTGCAGACCCTCCAGGGACTCTGCCGGCCCACGCTGCAGTCGTCCTTGGGGCCACTGGTGGGGACACTGTAGGGAGCCCCAAACCCACAAAATACAGCGGCTCCAGCCTCAGACGTCACAGCCCAGAGGGAGCCGAGAGTAGTGTTACCAGAAACCCTTCAGGGCGGTCAGGGAACTTACTCTCAAGGCTTAGGAATTTCTTGCTTTTTATTATCAAATATCTACCGTGGAAACACTGACCAAAAGGAAGTATCAGGGGTACAGTCACCACTGCAGGCGGCAGAACACAGGGGCCAACACGGCCCAGGAGCTAGGCCGCCCTGTCACGCCTCCCTGGCTGCAGGCATGTTAGTGTCATCGTGTCTCTGCCTGTGTTTCCCTTTTTACAGAGCTGGGTTATTAGAGTCCCTACCTTCCTAGAATTAAGGGGACAGAGCAAGTTCCTATTTGAAAAGGATTAAAACAGCCCAGCCCTGTGAAACTTAAAAATAAAACATAAATTAACTGGGTTAATGCCTCATCGGTCTTGCCAGTCCTTAGTCACACACATTTTTTAGCTCTCGTCGATCTACCTACCTATGTACATTTGTGTTGCTTACTCCCTCACACGTGTGTACTGATGCAGTGCCCATAATCACGACTCACAGTGATTACCTAAAAGAAACTACGAACTGTTGTCCACCTACGCAGCAATGGATGAATAAGTCACGGATGCTGACACCCCGGCAGCTAAGTGTCACCTTTTGTCCAGCCTCCTACCTCTAAGCAGTAACGTGTCCACCAGGAGTGACCTCGCTTACTACTCCTAAGGTCAATTTTGATCAACAGTAAATATCCCATTCGAGAGTAAATTTTTCTGAAATTCAGCATTAGTGCCGCATACTCTATTCCTTAGAGGGCACCTAGACACTCCCCTTGTAAGAGCAAAGTCTGTAATTTCATAATTATGTACAAATGTCAATGTAGTTTCCTACCCAATACTCCAGCTTAATGCAAATCTGTATTTCCAGTTAAAACCTTTTTCTTAGCCTAGGGCTTTTCTGTTAACAACGCACTCTGATCCACCAAGAGTTGGGAATCTCTAAGAGATTCTCATTCTCCACATTCCTGTTCCTTAAGTAGGATTTCTGGTAGACCATGAAGGAAGTTTGGAATTTTCTTCGCCATAACTATTCGTTGTTAAATAAGGGCTTAACTTCTAAAAGCTTTTCTCTATTCATTCATAGGTTTCTCCTAAGGAGATATTTTCTAATGAGTAAGAAGGGGAGGGGTCTTCCTGAACTCTTACTAAAAACTTTCCCTTCCTAATTACACTTACAGGATTTCCCCCCAATGTTTATCAAACTACAATCAAAGAAAAACTCTCATCAATTCAATTCACAGAGCTTCTCCTCACTATGGATTCTCTGGTGTTGAAGCAGGGCTGAGTGACCGCTGAAGGCTTTTCCACAGTCGTTGCATATAAAGCGCTTCTCTCCGCTATGCATCCTCTGATGAATAATAAGAGAAGAATTCTTACAGAAAGCTTTCTCACAATGATTACACTTGTAGGGTTTTTCTCCAGTATGGTTCCTCAAATGTACAATAAGGGAAGAGCTCTCATTAAATGCCTTCCCACATTCGTTACATCTATATGGTTTTTCTCCAGTATGAGTTCTTCGGTGTGCAATGAGGTGAGAGCTACAATTAAAGGACCTTTCACACTGATTGCATTTATAGGGTTTCTCACCAGTGTGGATTCTCCGGTGAGCAACAAGGTGACAGCTCTGGCTGAAGGATTTCCCACATTTATTGCATTCATAGGGTTTTTCTCCAGTATGAGTCCTTTGATGTCTAACGAGGTGAGCCATCTGGCTGCAGGATTTTCCACATTTATTACATTCATAGGGCTTAATTCCAGAATGAATTATTTCATGTTTAGTGAGGGCTGAGCGTTCTCTGAAGGCTTTGCCACATTCCTGGCAGTTGTAGGGTTTCTCTCCTGTGTGAGTTCTCTGGTGGGCAATAAGGTGGGAACTCCAGCTGAAAGATTTCCCACACTCAGTACATTTATATGGTTTTGCTCCAGAGTGCGTTCTTTCATGTTTGCTAAGAGCGGAGTAGTCCCTGAATGCCTTTTCGCATTCATCACATTTAAAGGGCTTCTCCCCAGTATGCATTCTCATATGGGCGATAAGGTGGGAGCTCCAGCTGAAGGACTTTCCGCATTCGGTACATTCAAAGGGCTTCTCTCCAGTATGAGTTCTCTGATGTCCAATGAGATGGGAGTTCCAGTTGAAAGATTTTCCACATTCATTACACACGTAAGGTTTCTCTCCAGTATGAATTCGCTTATGTACAATTAGATGAGAATTCCAGCTGAAGGCTTTTCCGCATTTATTACATTCATAGGGTTTGATTCCAGTGTGAGTCCGTTCATGTTTAGTAAGGGCTGAGCGATTCCTGAATACTTTTCCACATTTATCACATTCATAGGGTTTCTCTCCAGAATGGGTTTTCTTATGTTGGATAAGGTAAGAGCTCCAGATGAAAGACGCTCCACACTCGTCATAGGCATAGGGCTTCTCTGTGGCGTAAGTGCTGGTGTGCTGAGTCAGGAAGGAGTCATAGCCGAAGACCTTCTCCCACTCATCGTATTTATACGCTTTCTCTACGGTACCAATTTTTTGGTGTTCCATGAAAGAAGAGAAATAAAAGATATTCTCATATTCTTTATAATCGTACTGGCTTTCCCCAATATGAAGTCTTGGATGTTCATTAAATGTTGGACTCTGGTTGAAGATTTGGTGGCATTCCTTATATTTGTAGAGTTTTTCTCCTGCGTGCATTCCCTTGTGATCACCGAAATGTAGGATATGATTGAAAGATTTCACAGCATCAGGACATTTGAAGAGATTATCTCCAGACTGCACTCTTGCAGGCTGAACAGGTTGCACGGACTGGTAAAGGGCTTCGTCGTAATCATTATTTTGACAGGTGACGTTGTCTGCGTACATTATGGCTGAATTACACCTCCAACCGTCAGCATTTATATCAGGCTTATAGAGATGTTCTATTTGAGAAACTCTCTGCGCTGGCACGAAGTTTAAGCTCTGGCTGCATTCTGCTCCCAGTTCACAGAAGTCAGAGCTTCTCTGAGACAGCACTTGCTTTTGCATGAAGACCATTTGCCTCAGCGCCGTACTCTGGTTCACGTGGTACAATTCTAATTGATCCTTACACCCCAGAACTTCCAACCTGGAGAACCAAGGGTTATCCCATACGTATCTTTCCAGCTTCATGCTATGCGGCTGCTCTTCCTCAAGAGTGTTCTGAGTTGGGATCAGTGCTTTGCTTTCAAGATTTTCCATCCATTCTGAAACAGAAAAAAAGCCATCAGAATGTAAGAAACATTAGAGGGAGAAGGGGAAGTTTATTGTTCATATTATTGAAAAGGCAAGTGTGACCTGTTTTCAAGTGAACTTATAATCCAGAAAAAAGATCATAATAGGGAGAGAATAGTGAGAACTGGAGGAGTTCACCAGAATACAAACCGTGAACTCAAAACTAATAATACCATTTAGTATTAGAGGAGTATCAGAGTTGGGTGTGCGGGAAAGAGTTAACGCTGCAGGCCTGAGCGGCTCAAACTTCACACAGTCCCGAGAAGTCTTGTTACATGAATGGCCTTTAATAATTTAAACATTTTTTCTTAAAGATCTAGTTGGTCATTTATCTCTGGCTAAACCAGTTGTTTTCTTTTTTCTGGACCTCTCCAGATCACCAGATCCCCTGGAAGGACTCACAAAACCCAAAACTCTGCATTTAATACTGGCTCTGCCATTATCCAAAGAGCACGTTTATGATTGTGAGTGCAGGAAAATGCGTGGCAGGGTCACAACCTGTCATCACCACTTAGCCGCTTGTGTCCACCTGGCAGCGCTTCCCATGGCTGCGGTAAACATTCCCCCACACACAGTGGCCTAAATAACACAATCTGCTCTCTTACAGTCTGGAAGCAGAAGCACAAAATGGCTTTCGCTGAGCTGAAGTCAAGGTAGGTTCCCTGTGGAAGCTCTGGCACAGCCAGTGCCCACCTGTTCCTGTTGATGTGAGCTGCCTCTGCTCTCTGCTTTGTTGCCCGGTCTCCGTTTTCAGAGCCTGTCACTCCAGTCTCTGCCAGACACGTCTGTGTCTCTGACTCTCCTGTAAGGACCTGAGATTACAGTGCGCCCACCCAGGGAGCCCAAGATACTCTCATTCGAGACCCTCATTGTCATCACAGCTGTAAGCCTATCTGGCCAGGTAAGGCGCCATGTTTATCAGTGTCAGACACTAGGGCACAGACGTCTCTGTGGGGAAGGAGGTGCCCAGCCTTCCTGACTCTAAGCTCAGGCACATACAAGACCTAGACCCCGGCACACTCTCTAGGGCCCTCTTACCTCTTGCCCCCTTAACTGCTTCAAGTCCATGACAACAGATGTTCTGCTTGGCTCAAGTTCTGGCTTGAGCCAGTTATTTACTGTCGGTCTCAAGCTCAGCTCACAGAAGTCAGATCATGATCTCCATACAACGTTTGGATCTTCACAGGAGCGACTCTCACGATAGAAGTGGCAGCTGAGCAGTTCAGTAACCAAACGAACAATTCCAGCCAGTTTCATGCTCACGCAGCACTTCTGGCCCCGGGGACTCGAGACAAGAACACAGAGCCATGTCTGCTGGGAGCTTAGCGTATACGTGGCGAATGCTCCATACCTGTCAGGCAGGCTGTGGGGTCACAGAGGCTCCTGGGGGAGGGCGGGGAAGGAAGTCGGCGTGACAAGAGCAGTCAGGGAGGGCCTCGCACAGGACAATGACAGGGGCGCGGTCTTCACGCACAGACCAGGCGCACAGGCATGAGGGACACAAGCGGGGGCAATTCTCAGAAGTCCGAAGTGAGAATAGCGGAAAGAACAGGAAGCCTTGAAATAAGGTCAGAGCCATTCAGAAGGAACCCGGACCACTGACTTCTAAAAGAACCTTCCTAATGGAAGCCTTCAGGAAAGTGTATTTGGAAATAAAACCAACGTGGCTAATAACACAATTTGCTCATCACCGTGAGCGCAAGTTTTATGAGGAAGGGGCTGATGGTGATGTTGGTCAAAGCTGACATTTCAGAGGAGGAAAATTTCAGGAGTGAGAAGAGAAATTACCTCTTGGAGAGGAAAGGTCAGGGAGTCAAGACAACGGCTCAATGTCCAGCTCAGGGAACTCCCAGGTGACTGATCTCAGGGACATACCTCAGGAAGTGGGGACTTGCCTAGAGCGAAGAGGCAAAACCCCTGGTTCTGTCTACCGAGATCAAGGAGGTGAATGCGATGGCTCGGGGTGGCGGAGTGTAAGTAGGGAGGTGGCGGCACCTCAGGCTCAGGGCGGCCACTCAGGCGCACGGTGGGGAGTCAGAGCTGCTGGGCTCAGAAGCTCTCAGAGGGTCTACACCTAAACCATGGCCACTGGGGAGATGCCAGAAAAGTGCAACCGTTGGCATGACTGAAGATGTCCAACCTCAGAGCCCAAGGAGAGGCCACAGCATGTTGTTAAATTAAAAGCAGCAAGGTGCAGAGTGCAGGCCCTGCCTTTGGAAGGGCAAGAGGTGACCACACCTTCCCTTGTGCTTGAAGCGCGTCAAGAAACTCACATTGGGCCTCCCTGGTGGTGCAAGGGGATAAGATGCAACCTATGAAGGCCAGGGAGCTACCCACATGGCACAGCAGACCTCTCCTGTCTCCCGGCAGCAGTCTACTTCAGTCAGTCTGCCTGTTCTGCTCCCCACTCTGTCTCTGGGGAATCCTCTCACCCCCTGCACCTCTGGCCTGTACCCCCGCTCTTGTGTGCATAAATGAATCAATCTTAAAATAAGTAGTTAAAAAAAAAAGAAAACTCACATATATGAGCTGCTAAACGTGACCAGCTGGGCCAAACTGTCGGTGAGGACGGGTAGATAAAGGGCCCTGCATTTCCACTCCCATGTCAAGGCCACCAGCGCACCAGTGAAAACCCTCGGAATTGCTGCCGGAAACCAGCGGATTCCGGAACGCGGCCTCTCATGGGGGCAGCGGCCGAGCAGCGGTTCCTCCACCCACGGCTCCGGCTCCGCCATGAGTCAGTCGCGGCAGCTGCGCCTCAGAGGCCTCTTATGTAACAGTGTGCGTCCTGGATCGTGGGGTGGGCCAATCAGGTGCGAGCTCTGAGTTGATTGGCGCTAAATGGTCCAATCAGACTTTTGCTACCAGGAGCCCCTCACCATGTCAGCGGTGGCAGGCGCTCCTCAGAGCCCCTTTATGTGAAGCGCACTTCCGGGATGTGCAGTGGACCAATCAGGTGCTGCGGGCTGATGGGTAACCGGCCCAATCAGACGTGTGGGCGGGGCACCCTGAGCGAATATAAGCCAAGGCAGCAGTCGGGGGGCAAGGCCTGCCCCTGAGAGAAGGTGACTCGGTACTGGCCCCTGCAGACGGCATGGTGCTTTCAGCCCGGGGGAAGGAAGAGCCGTGGCCAGCAGCTGCCCCCTGAGGAGGGAGGGGCCCCGTCCTGCGTCTCCACCCCCTGAGGGGAACCCGCGAGGCCCCGGCCTGGTGCTGCCAAGAGCTGCCTGTCGCCAGCGCCACCCAGCAACTCACAAGGAGCCTCACGCCGGGTGCCCCTGGCGCCGCCTCTGGGGACCGGTGCCGGCCGTCACTACTGCCAGCGCGGACGCTACCTGGGTGAGCAGCTGCCACGTGTGGCTTCAGTGAGTTTCCACCCCAAGGTGGTCTCTCCTGGGGCCCAGACCTCTTGCAACTGCGCGCGAGTGAGGCCCGCGGGCCGCCCTTTGCTAGGCGCTAACCCTGGCTTGACGGCCTTTTGGTGCCGCTGGTCTCAGCCCTGGCAGGCGGGTGGCCGTTCCCTCCTGCCCTGTGGCCTCTTGGGGCCCACCCGGCCCTGTTTCAGGGTCAGTTTCAAGGTTCTGCCAATGAACCCAGGGCTCACAGCAACCTGGGGCGAGTCTGCTGGAGAAAAGCCGCTCAGTGTGGCTCACAAGGGTGCGGTCTGCAGCCACCTCTGGCTCCCCAGCCGGCAGCAGCCTCGGGGCACAAGCCCACTGTTCTGCACAAGGTGGGGTGGGGGGAATGTGGAGCAAGGCTGGGTGTCCTCAGCCGCCTTCCCGGAGGACAGCCATTGTCTGGCCGGGCTGCGCAGGCTGTCAGAGACCCGCCTGCTTGCAGGGCCTGTCCGGTCCCTGCCCCAGCGGCCAGGAGCTGGGCGGAGCACACACCCGGCACACCGGGCTTGGGAAGCTGAGTGTTCCCGGGGCCTGGTGGCCAGGGCGCCACGGCACAGACAGGGGTCACAGCCTAGGCCAGAGCCAACCAGACCCGGCAGGGGTGGCCACCAGCAGCCCCTCGGGGCCAGGTGGGCGCCACAGGGGCGTCCATGACAACACGCCATCCCGGGGTCCGACAGGCCATCGAGGGCAGGGTGGCCACGGCGACCCTCAGGCCGGGCGCATCGCCGCCAGCGCTTCATGTGCAAGCTTTAGAAACGCGGCCCCTCGGAAAAGGATGTAGAGGAGGCCCGAGGGCCGCAGCCACGCGCAGAGGTGGGAAGCGCCAGTGCCGCCTCCCCACCCGTCTGACCTGAGCCCAGGCCCGCGGCCACCCTGAGCTAGCCAGAGGCCGGCCGGGGCCACCCCAGCCCAACCGCAGCTGCCGGTCACGACCCCGGGAGGAAACCCCCAGAAAGCCACTCGGATTCCCAGCGGAAGGAGAGACTGGCCAGGGACCCATGGCTCACGCCGACTCCGGGAGACAGCACAGACGCGGCGCCACAGGAGCGGGCTCTGCCGGGCCACAGACCAACGTCTGGCAAAGAAGGCATCGAGAAAGCGCCGCAGAGAGGGCGCCGGCCCGGCCCTGCGCTCCACCCGCGGCTGCTCTCACCTGGACGCGTGGCGGGGGGACGCGTCTGCTGTGCCGGCCACGGCTCCTCTCCTCGCTCCAGCAGGGCGACGACCTGGGGCTTGGCGACCTCGTGCCCTGCGCGGGAGGGAACAAGCGCCGTGGGCTGCGTCCGAATCCCGCAGGACCCCCCCCATCTGTGGCCTGGGAGCCGCGACCCTGAACCACGGTCGCCGGGTTGCCCGTGTCTCTTAAACCCAGAGCCCGGAGGACCAACTCGGAGGTCCTCACCACGGCGGCCCTTACCCACAGAGAGCAGGTGCCCGAAGGTCTCCAGCGTCACGTCCCGGTACAGCGCCCGCTGGACGGGGTCTAGCCGCCCCCACTCCTCCGCGGTGAAGTCCACAGCCACGTCCCGGAAGGTCACTGGCTCCTGAAGAGTAGAGAAGCCCCCTCAGCTGCTCTGGACCCGCCAGGACCACGGCACAGTCCCCGGAGCCCGACGCCGGAGACCAGCACAGCCCCCGGCAGACTCGTGGCCGCGGCCAGGGCCTGCTCGAGGTGCCACGGGCAGTGGCCACAGCAGGCCCCCGGACCCAGGTCGCCCCATTATGGGCTGAGCGTCCGAGACAAAGGATCGGCACCAGCACCCAAGTCCACAAAATGCAAGTAACATCCCCAGGAAGCAGGATGAGGCGTTCTCAGAGAGGGGTGTTCACAGGGACCCCAAGTTGGAAACGCAGGGAAAGGCCGTGGTGAAGAAGGGAGCGGCCAGGGGAGAGGGGTCACCAGACGCCCTGTCCTGCTCTCCAGACTCTGCCACTATTACCTGGAGACGCGCAAAGGCCTTCCAGGGACGCGATGGAGCTGCAGGGGCAGGACCCGGGCCTCTTTGCTGCTCCTGCAGGGCCCCCGACAGCAGCGGCCACGCCCAGAATTTGGAGGGGGAGGGCCTGCTTTCCCGGCATGCAGCGGCTCGAGCAGGACTCGGCACCACAGCTTGTGGCAGCAGAAGCGGCCGCAGGGCCCGGCCACGTGAGGAAATGTGTGGGGACACAGGCAGGAGCCACGGCAGATGCCCAGTGAGTCCTGATCCGGTGCCGGCTGGAGAGATTCCAGCAGAAAGCAGTTCTGAGTACAGGGAGAAGCCACAGAACGTGCGGGCGAGACGGCTCCAGGGAGAGACGTGCCACGGGCAAGCCGAGCCACAGACGCCCGGACAGTTCACAAGGAGGGTCCAGGACACAGACGCAAGTCCACTGTCCCCGCAGCCTTCGCAGGCTGGCGGAGGGCGGGCAGACGTCGACAGCGCGCAAGGGACCCGCCTTCAGGGAGACTGACAGAGCCTGTCTCTTTCAGGCAAAGGCCTGGCGTTAGAGGGGGCACGACGTGGCGGCCCCGAGGGCTGAAGGCAGGGCCCCTCCAAGAAAGCATCCCTGAGCCCCATGAGGCCCCACGGAGGGAGGCCCACTGGGCTGCACCTCCCACGGCCCTGGGCCAGCCTAGCTGGAGAACAGCCAAGCAGGGGCTGCACCACTCCCTGGGTGGCTGTCCAGGGGTGCAGGGTCCAGCGAGACCCCACACGTCAGCTGCCCACTGGGCAGGCGTGTGGGGCTGCCTTGTGTCCTTGTAACCAATGTGTCTGGACTGAACCGGACCTGCTCAAGTGAAGAGCTGGACTGTGGCCAGCAAGCCCACCCCGGGCCAGGTCACAGGCATCAGGGCCCTGCACTAGCGCCGCCTTGGGCTCGGGCAGGACATGGGAGCCCTGCAGCTCCTCTCCGACTGGCGCGCCTGCCAGGACCGGCGGCCGCTTGCCCCTTGCTAGGCCCGTCCTTGCCTGGAACGGCAGCGTGAGGAAGGGCGGCCAGGGCTGGGTCTGGCTGAGTCCCTCACGGCCCGGCCTGTACACCCTGCGCTGAGTTCTCCTTGGCTGGCCCCTCTGAAGCCCGGAGGTGTGAGCCGCTTCTGGGGCATCCTCGGGGCCCCATGAAGTCCCCGGGGCAGCCGGGCCGTGGAGGCCCCACACCTGGGGAGGCGGTGGGGCTTGGGACTAGGGTAGGACATTGCTCCCCCAATCCTCAAAGCAACAGAACTGGGGCTGCCTGCTGTGCTCCCCAGGACAGGGCGCTTAGGCCCGAGCCCCTGCTTCGTCCAGAGCTCCCGTGGAGAGGGGTCAGGGCCTGTTCTCAGAAATCACAACTCTGAAGACGCTGGATGTATTGTCGCTTTAATTCTCCGTTTTATTTTCTCAGCATTGGCTAGTAGTTCTCGGAGGCCCTCGCACAGCCGCGCGGAGCAGCGGGGCTTCTTCCGGCACTTTATCTGCTCCTTCTGCTGCAGCGGCCTCCAGGGCCACCTCCAGCCCCGACTAGCTCCCCTGCTGGCTCCTTCCGGGTCTACAGTGACGGCAGCCACGTTCAGCTGTCCAGCCACCCATCCGGAGGCCACCCCTGCCCCCGGGGGCCCTGCTGCCGCCCAGGGTTATGATTTTTTAGAGGGGAGGCGTGAAGTAGGGACGATGACTTGTTTTGGTCAGTCTCACACCTGCTTGGGTCATTATTTTAACTCAGAAATGAGAGCCCTGGAGGGAAACGACACGACTCTTCTCTGTCTCTCATTGCAGGGAGGCGAGAGACGCTGAGGGAGGAGTCTCACGTAGAAAGGGGAGGCGAGCCGCGACAGAACAGCAGGTCAAGAACGGGCTGCTGCTGAGCCAGCAAGGCCGACCGGACCCCGCCTCGGACTCCCTGCCTCGGCGGCCCCAGCAGCCCAGCGGCGGCCACGGGCCCAACCCTTCGTGGACCAGGTTACTTCCCGGTGACGAGGACGCTCTGCCATCAGGGGCTGGCGGTCCTGAGCTGCGGCCTCGGGTGAGCTTTGGCGTGAGCGACACGGCAGCAAGACCCGCCCATTTTTCCTCAAGTGGCTGCCTCCAGAGCAGCTGGGCGGGAGGAGAGAGGCGTCCTCTCCCCTGGAGTCCCTCTCCCGTCCCTGCAGTCCCGGCCCCGGCCCCATCAGCGCTCTACAAGGCCCAGCTCTGGGCAGCAGCCAGGTCAGGCATGTCTCCTGCGCCCCACTCCGCCAGCCCCAGGGGCGCAGCTCCAGCCACTGGGCCCTGAGTCTCCCGCCGTACACTGCTGAGGCTCCTCCCGCCCCAGGTGGGTCTGAGCTCCGAGTTCAGGACCAGCTGCATTCGTCCTGGCCTCTCAGGCTCCAGGGAAGTTGGGGCCGTCCTCCACCCTGACCCAGCCATGCAGCACACCCCAGCCTGGCGGTCACCCGGCCCAGCAGTCACCAGAGGCCACACCCACCCGGCAGGGCAGCCCCATCCCCAAGGCCAAGAAAGCCCTCACAGCAAGAGGCCCAGCTGCTCTGGCCCCTTCTCTCTGCCCCGTCCCTCCCTCGGAGCCTCCCCAGCCAGTCTGCTTCTGTCTGAACCACCTGGAAAGTTCCAGGCAAACCGAAGCCTCAGCTACTAAGGACATTACCCCTGACTGGGAGGCCCCCGGAATAGGGGCACCCACATCCTCGCAGCCCTTCCAGGGAGCCCAGAACTCCACAGACAGCATCAGGCTCTGAGTCTACGAGGAAAGGCCAGGGGAGGGGCTGCTGGGCCGTCCCTTGCCCCCAACTGCACATGCACAGCAGGGCTGGGGACGCGA